CATCTGAGATAAAAAGTAAAATGCTTGAAGCGGCAGAGACTCCCGATGAGGTTATCGCTAGAGATAGAATAGAATGTAACTTAGAATTTGAACATAACGAGTTTAGTAGTAAGCTAAATTTAGATAATGTGATCCAAGATCACTTCCCCTTTGCTGATTTCGACGAAAAGGCTTAAGGCAGTGTTTGAAAAATTAGTGAAATAGTCAGGAGATTCGTTGCTGGCTGATGCAGCAATGGGCCTGGCTATATCCTGAGCTGTTCGATTTGAAAGCATGATTCGGCGGCAGCTCAGATACTAGACGCATATGTTGACCAAAACGTGTAGATTCTGAATGTAGCATATTACTAGACGAACATCGACCCAAAATGTCAAACCTCAATAAAAGAGCCCTGCCGTGCAGGGGGAAGGTGCGGGAAGAAAAATTGAGAAAAAAAGGGAATGACCAGACTGGGGCTCGATCCCAGGACCTTATCGGTGTTAACGATACGTGATAACCAACTACACCATCCGGCCAATTCTATGCTGATGTGCTAAGTATTATGCAATGTGAATGGAATTCAGGTTTGGGGCGGAGCATAGTCCCAAATCGATCAGCTCTGGGCAAAGGAATCTTTCGTTCGTTTGGATCCTATAAAAAAGCCGCCATGTCCAGAGCCTTTTCTACTGCGGTCAAAATTTGACGAAAGGGTTGGAGTATAGCGAGGAGTTACTTCCCTCAAATTGGAAAGGGGGCTGTGAAGCGATATGAGACAGGAGGTGCAGGAGAATTAATGTGATTAAGAGGGCTTCTGCTAAAACGTATATCAAAAAGTTGGGGAAATCTAATTTACTGAATTCTGTACAAACAAGTCCAAATATTGTTCCAACCTTGGAAGACTGGTCAACTTACCAAACACCTAGGTATCGTAACGATGGCAGCAGCCCTATACACCAGTCTCATTTCAACCGCGCGGATAAGGCGAAGATCCTCAGTGCTCGATTTAAGCCTGTTGATGGTCGAGCTCGCACCCTTCATGTATATGAAGATGGCACGGGGACCTTCGACAAGGGTGATGTTTGTGAGAATCCATCTACTCCCACACAAAGGGCTTGGGAGAATCTTGGAACGTTAGGTCCTAGTTAGGTTGCATTTAGACCTCCTAAGAGCGGTGGCCTAATCTTGCTCTGTTCTCCTGCGGTGCGGAATTGACATCGTGGAGTCCCAGACATTCTCATGGAGGTCGAGCTCTTCACGTTCATATTGCCTTGCATCCCACTCAGTCCAACCCCCTTGGTCTCTGAGTAGCTTTGCTGCACCGAATTCGGCATTCTTTTCTGCCAATTTGACTGCTCGAATGTATTGGCGACGGCCACTTGCCACAATTGATGCACCTTCGTTCAGAAGCAGCTGCAGCATATCAATGCGACCATGTTCCGCAGCCCCCTCCAATGCTGTTCTGCCATTTCGTAAGGACCTTTTTGCGTTGACATCGGCTCCCTTTGCAAGTAATTTGCGAGCGATACCGATGTATCCCTTGATTGCAGCAAACTGGAGCGCTGTTCCGCCCCTAAATTCGGCCGCACACTGATTAGGATCTGCTCCAGCGTCCAATAGCATGTCCACTATTTGAACACTTCCATCTTCCACCGCGGCTTGTAATGCCGTTCTTCTATAATGAGACGAGACTGGTCGGTTGACGTCTGCCCCTGCGTCTAGGAGAATCTTTACAATGTGCCTGTTTCCGGTGCTCACTGCAGCGCAGAGAATTGATTGCCCTTTGACAATTTCAAAAGGTACGTTCGACAAGATGCTCCGATCACAATCAGCACCAAGAGCAACCAGGCGTCTAGTCAGAGAGATATCCTGCCTCCGAACGGCGAGCCAAAGGGGAGGAATTAAGTCAAGGTGAATCTTGACCGCCTGATTCACATCCGCACCGGCATCCAATAAATCCTGTACCGCGGAATTGCGACGGTGATACAGAGCTGTGGTGAGCGCTCGTCCTTTTTCAACCGCAGTCCATGTTCGTGAATGTAGAAGGGTCCTAAGTGACACACCATTTCGCCAAATGACTGCTCTCTCAAGGATAGAATCGAGAACTTCGCAGTCGAGGACTCCGTGCAGCTGGTACAGGAAAATATTGTCCAAAAACCCGCTAGCAACAACTTTGCCTCCGGGGTCAAGACCAATTTCTAAAAAGCGCCGCACAAGAAAAACAATGTGATCATATTGTAAAGCCTTCTCGAAGGCATTTGGGACAGCACAAGGCTGCTGTGACAAATTGTCCAAAAGCAGTTGAAGAATTCCAAAATGTTGCGAACCGCATCGATAATCCTCGACTGCTGCTGTCAGTTCAAGATCTCCGATGCTTGCTCCTCGTACAATCAGAAGCTTTGCCAATGAAAAGCTCTCTGGGAAACGTAAGTAAAATATTGCAGCTGCAAGCGGAGATAGGCAAACAGTGGCGTAATCCAAAAACCTCCAGTACCGCCCAGGCCCAACAGGCTGAAGTGAACACTTTGACATCATGAAAAATGGCTTTAGACCGACATTTTTAGGCTGCTTGTCGACATTACGATCGAGCAAATATCGGACAAGACCATCATCGCTTCTCTGCGACATCCTAATAGCAGACACGAGTATCGGTTGACCATAGCAATGGAGGATTTGAGGCAGCAGCCCAAGCTGTTCCAAGTACATTGCAGTTTCCAAGTTTCCGATTTGAATCAGGCTTTTTCCAATTTCTGTCGCTCCAGCTTGGAGAAGAGATCCAACCATTTCGCAGTGGCCACCTACTATGGCTGCGCCGAGGATGGTGTCTGGGACCTTGTCGTAAAAAGTTTCATTCTTCCTTGCGCCCCAACTCAATAGGGAAATTGCAGTGTCGATATTGTTCATCGCTACATTTTCATACAGGATGGAGGTATAGTAATCCTCCATCTGAGTTGGCTCTACACTGGCTCCGTAGGATATGAGCAGTCTGGAAGTTTCGAGATCGTTTCTCGCAAGAGCCCGTTGCACGAGGCTCATTTCTTGGATTCCATCACCAATAGAGACTTCTGCACCCGCCGATAACAGACGCTGTGTGATATTGATGGCACCACATTCAACCGATAAGACGAGTGGGGGGATGTAGTCATCTGATGCCTCTTGGTGGTTGATATTTGGATGGGTATCCAAAAGAAGATTGATTATGTCGTCGTTGCCTTTCCTTATCGCGAGTCCAAGTGTGGTTGATCTGACAATGTAGTCTTCACAGAACTTCACATCTAACTTCACATCTTGAATTGCGTCAACATCCGCGCCTAAGGCAAGCAGATATTGTGTCAGAGACACATCGTTTCGGTCCACAGCAAGCCCGAGGATCGAAAGGTCGTATGAGCCACCGCTTCGTTTGTTGATATTGGGGTCAATATCAAGGAGCATAGAGAAAAGGCCTGGGGTTCTCGTCTTAATTGCGGCGCTTAATGCCTCTCCTGGTATAGGAATATTTCGAGCCAGAAATAGTTTGATGAGCTCATTATTTCTTGAGCGGATTGCTTCACAGAGAGCCCTTTCTAGGATGCTTATATCCTTGAGCCCAGAACCATATGATAGGAACAAGTTGCACATGTCCAGAGCCGCTCGGGAGTCTCTGAAGTTGGAAGCCAGTACCAAAGGTGGCACGGGAAATCCATCATGAACAATTGGAATATCAGGACTCATACCAGCTTCCAAAGCCATCCGAACCATTCTTACGTCCTCGGATCTCACCGCACTTGCAAAAAGCTTGTGCGATATAGCATGTGCTGTTGCCCCGGGGAGGGAAAGTAGATATTTGAGGTTGTTGACGGTATCCAGGCCCGATTGATAGAATGTTGCCATGATCGTTTGATCTTCCTTGCTAGTCCTAGGCTCTCCTCGCTCTATATCATGGAAATAGGCATTCGTCTCAGAATCGGGGTCATCATCCGTCTCGTCATCCGAGTATACATCCAAGAATTCTCGTATATTTGATTGCCAAGAATCATCATCAGGCTCAGAGACTTGAAAACTGTTGGAAAGCAGGAAAAGTGCAACTTGTAAGCGCTCCACGGCATCACTGCCACCTCTGAGACCGCAAAGTCTTTCTGCTATGTAAAGGTTTTGACCTTCGTGTTGTTCAGGCATTATTGAGCTCAGAGCTGCTGCTACCCTGGCGCTATTGCGTCCGGTGCGCAGCACTTTGGCATGGCTTCCGATCATAAGGGAGCCGAGAGAATCGATGAGACCACGTTCGATGATTTGGGAAGGTAGGTCCATTTCCCGACCCCCTGGAAGATGTTCCAGTGAAATAGATGGGTTGCCTACTTCATGTTAATGTTAATCAATCTCACAGTAGTTGTTAAATCTGAGTCTTACTCGGGACGTTTTGTAAACTGCTCAGCGCAGTATTGGAGAAAATAAACCATGGGAGATTCTGTGGCCATGTAATTTGAAATATCAACGGACCAGGAGAGCAGACAATAAGTCCTTCAGGTGTTGGGGACAATGGCTCTATGTTGTGTCAATCATCTATGTTGAGCATCCTTGACTTCTGGATAGGCTCACCTTGACGATATTTGTCAGTCTCTCTCTGAAAACCCTGGCGATGAATCTCAAATTGCACTGTTTTTGGATCGTAATAGACCCCGTCGAACCAGACTTCGAGATTCTGCCCTTCAGCTGCCCTCTTTTGTATTTCTCTGTTGACGTGTCTCCACTTGAGAGCGCCCATGCGATATTTCTTAAAACCCCATTTCTTAAGCCTCGCCGTGTATTGATACTTCCTGCACGATGTGAGAAATTGACCGATCATTGTTCACAGGAGTGTCGGAGTGCATACGTTTTGCGAAAGCCATATGTCGTTTCCATAAATTGCAAGACCTCCTCTAGCTTTTTGTTCTCTCTGATGTAAAGGCGCTCGATCTCTGCCTTATGAGCCTCCCATTCCGCATCTGCCATGGTGCCAACGGCAGAGTTGAGGAGCACAGGGGTTGATATCGCATCCGGAGTTGAGTCAAATATTCTACGTTGGAACCTTCCAAGTATTTATTTGCGGGTGAGCTAGGGCGGGGATAAGGCTGAGCGAGGTATTCGGAGGCTGTAAACCCCTGATTTCCACGTCATCACCGCCACATCGTTGCCAAAGTATGCACACTATGCGGCCCGAGGTGTCCTGATTGGATATTATCAAAATTTGGTGAGCTGAGGATGCGCCCCGCCCACCTTGTTTGACATGCTATGATCGGGCAAGCGTCTAGAGCCCTGTGGCTGCACGCAAAGGAATCCCATTCAGTGATTAGCTGATATCCAAATTTGGGGTCCACTACGCTGATCGGCGCGATCAGCGCCCACCCTAGTCATGCAAAACGGATCTCCGTATGTGTTTCTTTAATCCAAAGCGGGATGATGATGGAACACGCTGATTGGTTCTCATCCAATTTGCGATGAGGCACGAAACGTTCACTGACAAGAACAATATCTTGGATAGTCTACTGTGGTAGATGAACCGTTCGCCCAGGTCTTCAACGCCCTGATAGCGTTGTATATAAGTCCCCTTTCTATCTCTTTGAACCTTTTGTTCCTCAAAGCAACAACGCTCTCCAGCTTCAGAGACTTTTCGCTCTTCAATTATCTCTTTGGCCTTAAACCCGTCTCAATAGCTTGGTCATGTCGTGGACTCCGTTCGGTATCGACAGGTGTGGGCCGGAACTCTGGAGACAAGGTGCTGATCAATTGGTTGGATGGCCCTCAGAATCCACACGAGATATTGCCCAACATTCGCTCTTCCCAATATATGAGGAACAGGACGGTTCAACCATCAATGATTCAATGTTCAACTATTCCCTCCAGTCTACCTCAGTACCGCCCCTATTTGATTATACACAGGCCCCAGTGGCCTTTCAGACCACCGGTACGGGGCCATCAAGCGAGATGGCTAATGTCATGTTGACTGGGTGCTATCAATACGATGGCAGACCCATACAAAACGCCGACCAACGTCCGATATTGGACCAATCCCTAATGCATACCAATGTCGATCAGAGCGGTTGTATGTATCAAATGCCGATGCCGGAAGTCCACAATATATCTCCCAAGAGACCCAATGCTCAGTATTGTCTTCTTACTTTGTCATCCTCCTCAGCTTCGCTGACTATTTCATAGTATCAAATGTGTATGGAAAGGCTGCAAATACAGTGGGGGGTTCAAAAGCAAAGCCTCACTGAACCGACACATTGAAACACAGCATGTTTTTCCCGGAAAATATCGATGCACAATCCCCGAGTGCCACAAGTCATTCAACAGGAAGGATAACCTGCGGGAGCATTTGCGTCGGAAGCATCACATATATCTTTGAAGCAACTGGCTTTTGTTTTGTCGAGTGGGCTGGAGAATTGCCAATAGTAGTAATCAGCACCATTTGACATGTGTGACCTTCACTCTTGAAAAATTCGGCTTTACGAGGGCAGCATTTTAGACGAAATGAAGATATGAGTCAATAAATAACGGGACAGAAGACGATTCAGATTAAACTGAATCAGCATGCGTGAAGATTCTGTTGAAGTTTAAGGGTCCGTATTCATTCTGAAGCCACGAAACACACAAAACCATGAGTACAAATATTGCCATTGTGAGTAAGAAACAATAATCGAAGGAGATGAAGATGGCAAGACCTTGCCTTCTTAGTCAAACGCTGCGGCCGCCTTGTCTTTACAGTAGCGACATCCGGATCATGCAATGATTGCTTCGTGGGAAGTCGACAGCACAGTCCTCATTCTATTCGGTCCAAAAGTGCCCTGTAGAATAGCTGGCTAGGTATCGGAGCTCTCTCAGAGCCTGGACGCGCCGGAGGTGCAGCCCAGGCAGGCTCTGATTCCAAACCTAGGCCCTTGGTCAGGTGAGTGAACGGGATTCTTCACGCCCACTCAGACCCAGGTGTAAGTATGATGTTATTGTCGGCATCGGACCCGGGTAGTACGGGCAATCCTTGGGTGCTAGATGAATGACTACGGGGTTCAGAGGCGAGCCAAAAGGTTCTGAATCACAAATCATTATAGATTTGCCTTCAGAGTTGAGATCGCCAACTTCATGAGAAATGCATATAAATACGCAGACTTGCCGAAACGAAGGACGAGCAGTCTGGTATTTGTTTAGATTTTTGAATCAATCAATGGCTTGCGTGAATATGGGGTCCGCGTGAGGAGGCCGCGATGAAGGGGGTTATATGGAACCGGTCGGGCGTCGGCGCTAAACCGCATATAGTAATTCATTGTCGCGACCGGAGAAGCCCTTATTTTAGATTCTTATCACTAAACAAACATTTGACGGAGGACGTGGGTCATCACTTCCTTTCAAAGCTTACAAGCACAGTCTAATCCTAAATCTAAGGCTTCTTTCTTCTAAGTTATGTTTATCTTCATTGGGATTCATTCCTTGAGCCTCGCAGCAGAACTAGTACTGGCTCCAGTGCTGCATTCCCCTTAACGCGGTCGGCCTTACTTATGTAGTATGTCCGCTTACACCATCATCATTGAGCACACCTCGATCATCAGATCTTATCAAATCGGCTGCTACTGATTAGTAGTAATATTGGCTAATGCTAGAAATACTACTATCACAACATGTCTTCTACCGCAAAGCCGTGCGTAACTTCCAATTGTCACAACAAACGATTTTGTGCTGACGTGATACCACGACTCACTAGAACCACGCTAAAGTAGCCTTGCATGTCTACAGATCCTGCGAGATCCTGCCCCCACCCCGAAAAACAGGATCATGAGGTCGGTTGAGAGGAGGGGTATTTCTGAGAGGTCCAAATAGACGACTCTAATCCCTGAATACCGATAATATGTCCATTTATTAATTATCCGACTTCATTACAGTTCCTGCGCGGCATATGCAGTGGCTGAATTACCATCTCAACAAATCCTGTCGCCTGTCAATTCTTACGACCCGGCGACTAGATAGTACTACGACTAATCACCCGAAATTCCTTCAGCCAAACAGGTCGATCGACACCCGCTAGTGGTATTTAGGCCCCCCCTCTGGCTCCCGCTCCTTCTTTCGTGCTTGCTATTCGAAAGCAACTCCAGAACACTCCACCCTAGCCACTGTCCAAGGATGGCCCAGATGCAACTCATCTTATCCAGCAAACACCGGAAGAGCACCGGGAAGAGATCTAGGACAGGTTGTCGTACCTGCCGGTAAGGAGGAAGCAGTACATGGAAACTGATGGCCTGAGACACTAGCACTAACCGAGGACCTTCAATGCCCAGAATCCGACGGATAAAATGTGATGAATCGCCAGGCCAATGCAACAACTGCGTCTCTGCTAATTGGAAGTGCGATGGATATGATGCGTACCGGTTGCCGCAGCGCCGCGGTCTACACGACATAGGCACTCGACTTGGTTGGACGATGACCTCGGATGAACACCGTTGTTATTCCTATTTTCAATATCACTCCGTTACGAATCTGGCCGGGTTCTTCGATTCCCCGCTCTGGCAGCAGTTGGCCCTACAGATGTCTCGTGCTGATCCGGCTGTCTTTCATGCGGTGAACATGTTCAGTGCTGCGCACCAGGAGTCGGAAATACATGACATGCAGATGTCTGCACGGTCACGCGTCGGGAGCCAGCAGTATTATTTCTCTCTTCAACAGTCGACACGAGCCATAGCGCTCCTGAACCAGCGCCGGAATTCCCAGGACCCCCAGCTGCGCCAAACTATCCTCCTGTGCTGTCTGCTCTTTGTTTTATTCGATGTGCTTGTGGCGCAATATGACAGTGCGTTTACGCATTTACACGGCGGTCTCCGTATTCTAAAAGAGCTCGAGAATCAGGGGAAGCTGGAGTCGGAGGTTGCGCCATCGATTATTGCTGCATTTCGCCGCCTGGATATACAGGCCTCGCTCTATGATACTCGATTTCCGATCCTACGCCTGCAGGATGGGACAAGATCCCCGCTCAAGTTATTCGAAGCACCAACAGGCGGCTTTACTAGCCTCAGCCAGGTACGAGAGAAGATTACGGTTTTATTTACAGCCGGTATACCCTTGATTGCTAAGAGCTGGAGCCTGAACGGTCCCAACATGGAGGCCAACTATGAGTCACTCTACCTAAGCCAACGGCGACTGCTAGCTAGTTTCGCTGATTTTGACCCATATTTCAAGACATTTTGCGTAATGAAATATCATCAGTTGAGTGAGAAGGAGCAACTGGGAGCAGATATCGTCCACTTGCTTTACCTTGGTCATACTCTCACACTCAAAACTGTGTTGATCCGTGGTCCAGTGCCGAAGTCTCTGGTTCCGGAATTCCTTGCGCTACTGCAGGCCCATGAAGACAAGATTGAGAAGCTCAGGTCTGTCTCTGGCCTGGTAATGGACCATGTCATGATCGCCCACATGTACCTTGTGGCCACACAGTGCCCAGATATGGAGATTCGGATACGCGCTATTCGTCTTCTGCGGTCATGGCCACATTACGAGGGCCTGCACAGCTCCAATGTCACTGCTCTGATGGCATTGGGGGCACTCAGAAGGGACTTTCCCAATGAAAGCCAGGCCTTGTCAGTGTTGCAGACGACAGAAGCGGAGAATGAATTTCTCGTTGACTCCTTGAAATCTATCAAGACTGGTGTGGGAGAACCTACCATTCCGCTTTTTAGAATGTCTGAGCTGCCATCGCGCCCATGATATGTAGTGAGCGATAAGTGTGGACTGTCGATAGGCATTGGTAGCTTCCTCTCCAGTCTAAGCCGGTGTTAACAATCAACACACGTCTCGAACATGATTGTGGCACAGTGTTTTCAAGGACAACTGAAAGAGCCCCGCCCATCTGACACGCTTCGATTCTGCCCATAGGACATCTCCGAGAAGTCCGACGAAGCCCGAGGGTCTTCTCCATAAGCCCGAGTTGCAGATCGAATGTCATCCCTTCACCTTTGACCCTGAATGGACCCGGTGGAAGATGATGATGTCCCTAGTGTCGGATAGCTACGCTCTCAGATCATCCCCCTCTTGAAAGCGCAGCCCTACCCACCCTGGCGGATAAATTTTCTCGAAAAAATCATGTGATGCGCTGTCTAGCTCCGCTCGGAGTCAGTTGCAACGATCTAAGCCCGAGGATTAACTCCACTGTCGCCCGCGGCCGAGTCTGCAGTGGGTCGGCTTGTTTGCGATTAGGTTTCTGGGCAATTCTTAAGCTCTTTATCACGCCGTCCTCCACCCAACACATATGCAACCTCTCTATTCTCCTGTCACCCCACCACAAACACATCCACAATGCCCGTTCCATTCTCCTTTGCTGCCCCCTGCTACGACCGCATGGTCCCGCTCGCGACCGGAGAGGTCCGCCCCGCGGGGCTCAATCTGAACTTCGTCGAAGTCCAACATCCCCGCGACGTGTTTGACCGCATGGTCCGAAACGGAGAATTCGACGCCTCTGAACTCTCGAGTAGCGAATTTATCACCCGCCATGTCGCCGGCGATCGCACCTTTACTGCTGTCCCGGCCTTCCCGCTCCGTACTTTTCGTCATGGATACATCGTCGTCAACACCGACCGCATCAAGTCACCTGCAGACTTGTCGGGGAAGCGCATCGGTGTGCAATTGTATACTATGACCGCTGCCGTCTGGATCCGCGGACTTTTAATGCACGAGTACGGCGTGGATCTGTCGAGCATCACCTGGATTGAGGGGCGGATGGACGCGCCCGGGGCTCATGGCAAGCCATCTGTCCTGATTCGGAGGGAAGGGGACAAGCCGCTGGCCAACATTGAAAAGAACACCAGCGGGAAATCATTGAACCAACTGCTGGCGGATGGTGAGATCGATGCGACCATTGGCGCGGAGGTTCCATCTTGTCTCTGGGACAACGAAAAAGCCCCTCATATTCAGCGCCTGTTTCCTAATTATAAGGAGGCCGAGAAGGAGTATTACCGAAAGACGGGCATCTTCCCGATCATGCACCTGGTCGCTATCCGAAGGGAAGTGTACGATCAGCACAAGTGGATCGCTACGAGCTTGTTCCAGGCGCTGAATGAGTCGAAGGAGTTGGTTCGCAAGAGAACCTATATGCCTGGTATGATCCGCTGTATGTTGCCGTGGCTGCGGGAGGCGCTGGAAGAGACTGTTGAGGTGTTCGGGGAGGATTGCTGGCCGTATGGGATTGAGAAAAACCGCAAGACTTTGGAGGCGTTGGTGCAGTATCTGTATGAGCAGGGAATGATTGAAAGGGTGGTTTCGGTTGAGGAACTGTTTGCGCCGGTTCAGGAGGCGCCGTTTGTGATTCATTAGTAGTCTGATTGTTGCCATCACTGAGTAGCCTTAACTCAATGCAATAGACAGATCCCCATTAGCAGCCTGCAGGTGGTTTTTAATCGCTAGAAATAACTTTCTAGTAGCATCGGCATTTGTCATACGCAATTCAATGATTCTCATTATTCGCACATTGTATCGTTGACACCGATCACAGCATAGGCGACTCTGGCGTAACGGATCCACTATAAGGGATGCAAATCCTCCTCTAGCATAACGTGAACTTCCTGCTTCACATCTCCAAGAAAATATGAAATGCGCGCCCGGCGCTGATCGTCTTCAACCGCCATGAAAATACCTCGTAAGGATGGCTCATTACGACCACCCCCTGCCATTCCACTAGCATCCACATTGAATTTATTCATCGCCTCCACTCTCATAGTATGAATCGCCAACTGCGCACACAAATTCGAATCCCAGGTCCCTTCGCGATGAGGCCACGACCGAAGCATCTCAATAGCACGCCACCGCACACTGTAATCACGACAGCCGGTAGCCACGAGAGTTAAGGGTGGGATGATGCCCATGTCGAAGCAGACGCTCGGGCGCTCGGGGAAAGTTTGCATGATTGTTTTCACTAAAGATAGGATGTTCTCGAATTCGGGCGTGTAGTGGTCAAGGACAGGTTCGTTTCCGTCTAATAGGCAGGTTTGGAGGGTGAGGGTTGCGGCGCGCTGGTGGAGGTGGATTATGTCGGCTCCTCGTTGTTCTTTTGGGCTTAGTTGGGTAAAGTATTTTGTTCGAGATGTATTGAATGCTTGGGTGAATGTATCTATTTGTAGACATAGGTCGAGTTGCTTCTTGTAGAGTGTTCCGTAGTCCGAGGCGATTTGGCTGTGGGTGGAGCCGGACGCCTTCGCTGTGAAAAGAAGCACGGTGCCCATCACGCGATCGAATGCTTGACGCGCCTCTGCGAGGGTCTGAAAAGCGAGGAACTTCTCATTCCCTAGCTGGGTATGGTCCTGCTCATCGGTAAACCAGATCGGTCCTCCTACACCGAATTGACTGGACTGGATGTCCAAGTGCGCAAATGCCTCAACGAGACACCACTCCACCGGGGGCTTGGACATAGCCGCCGAGTCAAGCTGTCTGTGGGCGCCTAAGCTTTTCAAGATGTGTATACCACCATGCAGATGTCTAAAAGCGTCATCATACCGGCCGCGCAGCAATTCAGACAATGTGAAAAGCAAGCAGCACAGCAGAGTGACCTCTTTCAGATGTGGATCCTGCGATGTCCGTCGCGCATTAAGCAAGACGATGGAGCGACCCGCCTGTTCCAAAGCGAAGCGATGCCAAGTATTATCCAAGTCCTCCCTAGCAAGCGGCATGCCTTTCTTCTCGGCATCCTGGTGGACGGCGCTCAACGCGACAGCCGCATGATATACCGCGGGTTCGGCGTGACTCAACTGGAGGACCAGTTTCTGCCAGAGTGATGAGTCGAACCATCCTAGAAATGCGGGCATGGATCGATGTTGGAAATAAGCGAATGATCGTTGTTCGTCGGCATTTATCACCCAATGGATCCCGTGGGTGAGTGAAGCCGGCACTGTGATCCCCACCACTGCTTTTCTGGGTCTCCGCACTTCGCGGGGTAACCGGTGGAACTCATATCCGTCGCAGGTTCGACCCGTAGATGTACAATTGTTGCAGGCGCCTGGGGTTTCGTCGCATTTCTTATGACGGGCTCTAAGAAGAGAGATCATTTAGCAAGGGATTCATGGCACCGTGTGTCGTGCAGGCTGAACTCACCGACAGGTACGACACCCAGTCCGGGACCTTCTTCCCCCAGCTCTCTTGCGGATGGATGGTGGGGATGTTGTTGTTTCGGATGGACCTGGGGTATTGAGGAGCATAGGCGGAGCTGCCAGGAAAATTGGAGATGATCAGCCTGGAGATAAACGAGATTGAATTAACAGCGTGTGTGCTGCCTGAGATGCGATAAGCACGAGATCACGGGGCTTAGCGTGGATAGTCCACGTGGCTGGCGCCTGAGATACAAGGCAGCAGCCATTCTTCCTATCAAGACAGTTCTTGAAATCAATCTACTACTAAGGCAGCAGTATATCGGAGGTTCATTTCTGATCTTTTTCAGACTAATGTGGTTTATCTATGTAAGTCTTTAGTTGGTGTCATTGGACTTGCGCTGGGCATCCAATGATGTTACTATGGGTGCGAGATAAGAGGCATTTAGAATCCGAGCAGGTAGTAGGGCCAGCTATCAATCACCCCAGACTCGCAAGTTCAACCACCGAACCACATAACATAATCCCTAAACCGAATCCCTGGAACCGCATCAAACCGGCCGTATATCCGAACCCCGCATATCCGAGAACTTCATCCGCGATCAACTGCCGTGGGGCTCGGCGGTGGTGCCTCGGTGAGTCGGTGCCTGCATCTGGCTGATCGTCTCTTATCTGATCTTAAGGCTGTTGACTAAAGAATCGTCCGTGATGCCTCGGACATGTAGTAAATGAGTGATCGCTTTCGCTCGAGCTACACAATACCGTCGTACTCGAGATAGCCCTTGATAGCACTTGAACTCGGAGCCATACATGGGGCGCACTCCCATTGCGCCCTTACTGTCCGAATCTCTACACTTCCACCTCAAAACACTCGGAATTCATACCGAAAGAACTGCCACCTGCAAGAGACTACTATGTGTACACGGCAATGTGGACCACCGGAATTAGGGGAGTGACGCCACTGCCACCCGGAACCAATCCGTAGTGGATGCCCTTTCGGAGATACTCAAAAGGGCAGTCGGGAGATCAGATAAGGAATATGCCGAGCTCCCCTGGACGATAATCCCCCACTTTGCCTCCGGGGCTAATCCTTCTGCCGCCCTTATATACTCGTGCTTCTGCTTGCTCGGTCGCGAGTTGATCATGTTTCTACCTTCAGACAGACTTATACCTTCGTGGATTCTTAATACATTTATCGCTGCAACCATAGCACTGATTATCTCGTCCATTGCTCCAAAAATAATTCAAGACCGCACCGAAAATTCCAACACTATGGCCGCATCTTTGAAGAACGTCATCGTCGTGGGCGGTTCCTATGTCGGAAAGGTAATTCCACGCGCAACACGGTTAATATTGCAGAAACATGACTGACAACCAATGCAGGGAGTTGCACAAGAGCTTGCGCGGGTCGTTCCCAGCACACATAGAGTATGTCCCTCTCTGCCATCTTTACGGGTTCAAAATACCATGCTAACCCACGCCCACAGGTCCTCCTAATCGAACCCCACAGTCACTTCCACCACCTCTTCGCATTTGTACGTGACAACACCATTCTACCTGCCAATAAATTGTCAGAGACACAAAAGCTAATCCGCACCTCAGCCCCGATTCGCCGTCCTCTCCGGCCACGAACAAAAGGCCTTCATCCCCTACTCCCGCCTCTACTCCTCCACCCCCAATGCCACACAACATGCAGTCGTCCAGGCGCGCGTTCTCTCCGTACAGCCCCAACACGTCAACCTCGACCGTGATTGGCAAGGTCTGAAGCAGATCCCATTCGAGTACCTCGTTGTCGCAACAGGCACGCGTCTCGCCCAACCCGCAGCCATGAGCGACGACGACAAACCCTCCTCCGTCCTCTACCTCCAGAAACACCAAGCAGACGTCAAGAAAGCCAAGTCTGTAGTAATCGTGGGCGGTGGAGCCGTCGGTGTGCAGATGGCCACCGACATGAAGGAGCTGTACCCGGAGAAGGAAATCACCGTGGTGCAGTCGCGCGATCAATTGATGCCTCAATTCCACCGCGGTCTTCACGAGATCGTTAAGAAGCGCTTTGAGGAGCTTGGTATCAAGTTAGTTCCACTCCTTACCACCTTTCCTACTCTCATCGAATCATCCCAACTAACCCACCGCAGCCTGGTCACCGGCGCCCGCATCGTCGTCCCCGAATCCGGCTTCCCCAACAACGGCACCCCTTTCACCGTCCAACTGAACAACGGCACCGAACTCTCAACCGAGTTCGTCATCCTCGCCACGGGCCAGAAACCCAACAACGACCTCATCAAGTCTCTCCCCGCTTCTTCTCCCGATTCTCTCATCAACCCTGACAACGGCTTCATCCGTATCCGTCCCACCATGCAATTCCAGGACCCGAAGTACCCGAACCTCTTTGCGCTGGGCGATATCGCTGATACTGGATTGCGCAAGGCCGCAAGACCCGGTGGTCCTCAGGCTGCGGCCGTGGCGAAGAATATCCAGGCGATGATCGAGGGAAAGAAGCCGGAAGAGGCGTTCCCGCCGTTCCCGATGGCTATTCATATTACTTTGGGACTGGTAAGTTCTCTCTTTCTTGACTTTGCGTCTGCAGAACGGAGTGAATGCTAATAGTCCGACTGCACAGAAATACAACATTGTGTTCCGGAACCCCAACCCCGCTGAAGGACAGAATGAGCCTGTTGTCAAGGAGTCTTGGGAGTAAGTTCCCCACATGCACAAATTGTGCTAAATAGTAAGGGGATACAAGCTAACGGTTTGGCAGCTCGCAAGAAGACATGGGTGTTGATCGGTGGTGGCAGCGTATGGGATTCGAGGAAAACGGTGCCCCTCAATACCATTTGTAAAGCGGATGCATTGCATACTGTTACCGCGTACGATACCATTTTATGTAGATTTGATAGACCATTTATATAAGATATGATACCATCTGTTCTGATCGCGTGGTTTTATCAGTGAACCAAATGATGTATATTTGAAATGACACATTATGCAGCAGTATTTGGATGACCATAGTACATTCAATAGATGATACAAGATAAACAGATCTGACAACAAATTTATCTACTTTTTCAAAGTATTGCATAGTAGAACCCCCCAATTAGAGATACATTAGAAATTAAATGTCCCCAGTATAAGCCTTTACACCTATACTCAAAACATATCGGTTAAAGGAGTGACTTTGGTCGGAAAAGTAAGGTTCGCCATCTAGGCGTGGAAAGGACGAGGGTGGTGGGGGTCCTTGAAGCAAGAAGGAACGTTCTGCTCGTAGTCGCATGTGCTGATCTTGGGGTTGAAGGCAGTGCCAGCACCACACTCCTTGTGGGCGGGCTCAGTGCCAGGGTTGCACTGGTAGAACTTGTGGCAGTTGGCGGGGTCGGGCCAGACAGCGCTGCTCTCGCAAGCGTGGGCGGCGGCGCTGTTGACCAGGAGGGAGCTGATGAAGACAGCGAGAGCTTGGTAGGTGAAGCGCATTTTGGCGGGTTTTCTGGAGATTGTTTAGTTGTGGGATTGATGAAGAGGGGTGGTGTGTAACTTACGGTTTCCTGTAGATAGGTTAGTATGAGAATAAGGAGTGGATGGGTGGTCGAAGGCTGCTGTGTTCTGGTTGATGATGAGGGAAATACAGCAGGCCAATGCCTCGTATTTATACCTGAAGATGGCTCCTTCGGGGTCTGTTTGTGTTTATAGTAGGGACATGTATGGAATGATAATTTCTATGAGGAAGGGATAAGCCAGTGTGGTATCTACAGATTCAATTGAGAGGCTCAAGATGGATCCCCACATAGGATCTCCCTTTCACAGGCGGGTAGTTCAAGGGATGGACGGTCTCGGTCAAGTAGAGGGCCTATGGTTGTCACAAGATATTACCAACTGGAAGCCAAGGGAGAAGTCTGCTATCGCCAAGTCCACTATCATTCAACAACCTGAATTTGTTGCAACGCTCTTCCTGGGGCACAGTCAAACTTTCCATTGTAGATACTGCATGTTATGGCAAGGATCGATGGGATGCAAGCCGCTGGGTCCACTGGCGTCACCCCTTGCTCCAGACCCACAAGCATAGTCGGTTCCAACTTCCGGCACGAGTGAGGGTCAGGGATCTACATCCCCGGATTCTTTATCCTTGGAAGCCTGCAGCACTGGCTATTATGTTGATTTTGTTTATACAGTGCACTAAATGCAGACGCAATTGGCGCTCTGAGATGGAGTTGGCGTACACATTTATGTGCCCCTTTATAGCGGAAAGTTAGAAATGCGTGACTATTACCTCAGTGCCAAGGTTCGAACGCTCGCTTCCGCCGCATCAAAGCTAGTTTGAGCTTTGATGTCCCTCAACGAACTCGTACATCAAAAGGGATAGTAAGAATGCAGCCGAGCAAGTTAAGGTACAGGTCAAGAGGCAGAATGCTCGGCTGCCTTGTTCCCGTGCCAAGATAGACTCCTGGGATCATGACAGTGAGGGAAATTCAATCTGTTTAACAAAAAACAAACTAGACTGACCCACGTCAAATTCTAATATATAACCGACATTCTCAGTCCTGGATAAAGGAATGAGCGAGGACTTTGGATTCTTCATAGTTAAGCGAAGGATGGAGAACCGGTGGGATCCACAACGGGAAAGCACCCCCTGTCCGGAGATTATCACCGCCTACCTTTCCTGTTGTGCGTGCATACTGCCTGACATATCAGTCGAGGAGATATAAGCGGTCAGTGTGACTGTGGTTGCTTTCGTCCGCCATCCACGTCAACTTTACAACCAAATCAAGGCCTGCAGTATGATCCATTCGTCATCTTCCCCATACTATTGACTTTCCCGTATGCAACCGTCTGTTGGAAGCGTCAGGCAATAACGCGAGCTGGGCTGTTTGACCGGACGACAAACAATCGCAGCCAAGATACGATTCGAACAGGAACAGTTATGATACCAATGATAATTGCAGTGTGACTACAGCTAAAAGTTGTTTCCGGCATTGATTCATGCCCCGTTATCCCGTGCAGTTGGCAACTCTTTTGATGCCACTCTGGAAGCTAGGATCCTGAAAACATACTCTTAGCTGGGATGAAAGGCTCTTGACTGTATCGTAATGAAACAGCCTTGCGGAATAGACCCCATTACTCATAAGTGGCAGTTCCTAAACCTGCATATTAATTTTTTAGTGTCATCGCGTCAAGCAACGCTCGAGAGTACACCAAGCAGCTGTCTATCACCATCATTCTAAAATCAGCCCTCCACGGTACAGAAGCTTTAACTCATAGTCTAGCTATTATATTCAACGAATCAAGTAGAATAGAATCTATTGAATAAGGCCCAGGCCTACACATCTTACCTAACCGGGCGTCATCCCTGCCAGCATGAAGTCAGAATGACTTTAACTCCTCACTAAGCGACAAAGATGAAAGAATGACGAGTGAGGCTATTAATCCAGACAGTTGTCATATAAGTATTGGTGAGGCAGATCTGTTCGGGTTGTGATGAATATTTTTGAATAATATACTAAAGCTCAGTGGCGCTGTAATATTCTATAATATATATTTACATACCTTAACTACGACATAATGTCCTCCACCGAAGACAGACTCAACGCTCTGCGTGGCTATAAGGCGTGAGTGCTCCTTCCAACTTTCACAAGCTAAATACAAATAACCAAATTTTAAATAGTACACTTAATAATCCTAATACCTCCGACGAAGCGAAGCAGAATGCTCAGGCCATGATCGAGCAACTCGGCGGAGATCAGCCCCGAGAGGAACTCTACAACCTCCGCGGTGACGCTACCAAGGACCCTAACCGCGTGGCTGGTGGCTTAAAGGCGTGAGTTCTATACAAGTTCTGATATTAAACCGGCATGGAATACTGATCATCTCTTCCATAGAGCTCAAAGCAACCCTGGAGTTTCGCAACAGGGAAAGAAGGCGGCGGGCCAGAAACTGGGACAGCTTTCGGGTGAAGCTCCTGAGGAGTAAATGTAATGAATGAGAACCATTTCTAAGTTATGGAACTGTATACTGTAGGCATTTGATTGGACGGGTGCTGTGCCTTTACTAGTACTTAGTACAAAGTAGGAATGTAGAATGTCAAGTCATGTGAGGGCAGGTCGCAATGGACCCTCACTGGCACCTGCTGTGATCTGGTCTTATTCACCCCAGAGCAGCAATATTGCGGGCTACAAGATACCTTTGATTATTATTGACTCTTATTCATCTATTGACTAGCATTTGATATTCTAGCAACGTGTCATGTCTCATTATCTAGGTTCGGAAACCATTGAGCGGGATCACGCACCCTCAGGCGCTCTTCTTCTTTTTCTTCTTCCCATCTAGCAGTGCCGGCAGGTCATCAACAGTAGACTTTCCTTCGAGGATGTCTGACATAACGTTAGTACGAGCTTGTGAGGAAGATAAATCGAAGGGGATGCTTACCATGAACTGCAACAAACAACGGAAAGTCCTTTAGCTGGTCGTGCTTCGAGAGAAAGTCATAAACAGCGTAAGCCGTCGAAGTCCCCTGCAACTTCTGGCCGTTGAGCTCCTTCTGTTCGATTTCATTGACGCTGACCCCCTGCTCGACTGCATGACAGGCTGACCGGAAGTTCCGCCCACCGCTACACGAGGAAATCACGTCCGCTAGACCCGCGCTCTCCTCAGTAAAGGTCCTCTCATCCACAGACTTGGGAAACCACGTCCGACCAAACTTAATCATCTCCAGGATGCCGACACGCATAATTGCTGCCTTGGCATTTTCTCCCCAGCCTTTTCCTGCAACAAAGCCCGATGCTAAAGCTATAATGTTTTTCAGGGCACCTCCTAGAGCCACTCCGGCAACGTCGCGAACGTGATTGACATGGAAATATGGGCGGGCAAACAGAGTCTCCCACAGCTCGGCATCGACTGCAGGGAGATCCTTTGGTACCGGGTGTAGCTTGACATGCGTAGGTTTGGTCTTATGTTGCCGCTGCTCATCAATCTTGATCAAGTTATCCTTCGGCGACCCATTACGCTCATTCGCATCCATCGGAGGGGTGTCGTAACCGATGGTCGTCTCACAAAACTTCTCCGCCGCTACTTCTGGAGCGATGTTGGCGCCGGACAAGGCACCGCAGTAGATACCGAGTCGCTCCATGATGAGTTCGGAGTGGAGAGTCACGGTTCCGTCTGACACATCGACGCCCTTGATACAAGAGATACCTCTCGCATAGGGGAGATGGTGCCCGACAACACCATCGAGGGTCTTGCCGATAAACTGATGGGGAAGGTTGAAGATGAGTAAGGTAGCATCCTTGACGGCCGACTTGATGTCTGGGTCGGCTACGACGTTGTCAGGAAGGGCAATGTCCGGCAGGTACTTGACATTCTCGTGGACCTCATTGATGACCTCAGTCAATTTACGCTTCTGGCCGCCTAGTTTCTTGTGGTGCTTGGAGGATTCTGGAACCTCGATTTCCTCTTCAAATACCCACATGCGCACCTCTGGCTCGAAAAGGTCGGGATGTTCCTTAGTGTTTTCTGCGACAATCTTGGAGATGGTGGATCCCCTAGATTACCATGGTGTTAGCCACATGTGCGGCAGCGGCAAGGCAGAGATGGTGCATACCAGTTACCGGAACCGACCACGGCCACCTTGTGCTTTCGTGTGTGCTCAGGCATCTTCAGATGTGCCAACTTGATGCAATTGATCAAGAAAGAAAAGTTGTGCGATCTTAAATCAACATTGAAGACCGTCGAGGTGCCATTTGATCATTTAGTTATAATAGCTGGCACGAGAGAGTTCTGACGGTCCGGGACTCTGATGTGAGAAGGACGTCATCGCCCTGTTCACAGCGAATTCATGCCCTGCATTTCCTCCCCAATCAAGATGACAGGCCTGACACCCTGGATCCATCAATAAGAAAATTGTAAGGCCCTGCCCAACTCTCAGCCTCTACTGTCACTGGCTTAGATGATCGCTGTACATATCCATGGTTTGCCACGGATACCTCCGACCGTACCGAAACCACCGCCATGAGGTCATCCCGGTGCCTGTTGTGCTTGGACGCTGAATGACCATCGAATCGCCTAGAAATGCAAATTTTAAATCGATGGCAATGAGCATATTTAGCCAATTTCAGATCAGGAGTTTCAGGCCATCCTGGTCGGTCGCCCGTAATTTGCGGTCAGCTGCGATGGCACCGTAACCGAATTTAACCCTAGTGGACCAATCCATAGCTGCGAAGAAAACGATCGTAAGCAACAATTGTATGAAACACCAACCTGCATCATGCGTCAAGACAGCTTTACTGCAACCTTGGTAGGAAGTCAGTTACCCTTCTCGTTTACCCTTCTTACCTTTGCCCTCACTTTGTCCACTATTCGCCTCATTCATCGTCTACTGTGTGGTTAATCTATTCCCTTGAGACACATGGGTTGAACGTAAGTATTTGATCTGTCTAGATCTCAAGATGATGGTAGTAGATTGGCGTCAGAGAGACATATCTTACTAATACCTCATAAGATCCTGCAAGCCAGAGACATGGTGTGTTGAAGTAGCTCCTCTACGTAGGACTTATTCGAACTGGTAGTGTTACTACGGATATTGCTACACCATATAGATTCAGTCTCTATTGCTTGGCTATCAGGTTTATCATTGAGTTAACCATTTCGTTCGTTTCAATATTTGAATATGAACAACCATCGGATTATAAGTACGTAGTACTAATACTCGTTTTAACGGATTCCTACTACTTAGCAATACCAGCCTGTGACGGATAGCGTTCCATTTCGTTCCCGCGCTGTACGATTATATATCGTTGAACTCGTTGATCGCAGCGACACCATTACTACAGAGCACTACTTTGACCGATTAACAAAGCGACGGGCATATTCCCATCCAGCAGACTGATACTACTATAGTTATTATTTTCTTGTCTGCCAATCGAACACAGCATATTCCCTTCGTAGTTTTGTGTCTACGACTGGGGGGCGACTAGTCACTACCGAGATTGCTGTAGGTACAAGACGTGGAATATGTAGTCAAAACTTTGGCTGCTTCGTCATCACAACCCCCGATGGTCTAGTTGGTTATGGCGTTCGGCTGTAATGGATAATTATTGTAACCGAAAAATCACCAGTTCGATTCTGGTTCGGGGGATATGATATCTTTTTTCTTGCCTTGCCAGTCAGCGTTACATGGCGTCTATAGATACAAAACGTAAGGGCATAAAACCAACAAGCCCCCGATGGTCTAGTTGGTTATGGCGTTCGGCTGTAATGGATATTATTGTAACCGAAAAATCACCAGTTCGATTCTGGTTCGGGGGAGCAGTTCTTTTTTGCCCCTGGTATGACAGCTACTTAGCTCTACCATTCACCACGCGATAAACAAAAAGCCAGCTTACACCATTCGAAGAGGCCCCCGATGGTCTAGTTGGTTATGGCGTTCGGCTGTAATGGAATCATTGTTACCGAAAAATCACCAGTTCGATTCTGGTTCGGGGGATATCTAAGTTTTTGCTTGACGTGTACCCACAATTAATAGAGGGTGTTGCAGAGGCGAACGGTGCTGTTGATTGGTCACAAATCCCTGTTAAGCCCAAGGTTTAGCATGTGTGCCATAGATTGAACCGGATATCGCACTGGCACTGCAGCCGCATGAGATTACCCGCATAACTGCCGATATCAAGGTGGGACTGCTCAATACTTACTCTTCTCACTCCCCATTGCTCGTCAAGGATTGGTCTACATTCGCCTGTAGCAATCTGGATGGCCATACCTATGGACTTTCATTATATCCGGGTGCCCGTAATTCGAAACTTCGGAAATCTGCTGTTTCGAGCTTCAGCTACTGCAACGAAGCATGTGTTTGAGAAACTCAGGGACTGGTTAGCCAGTATCAACTAACCAGTCCTCTCTCTCATACCTATTAAATAAATTTTCAGCCAGGTTACCCTTCTATATTAGTCAAAAATGCCTTGCCGGCTTGCTGGTTCGCAGCCGACCTAGTGGAGCTGAGGAGTATACTACAGCCCTGCGTGATAGAGGCATAGTTGCTGACTGATGACAACAAGAACCCCCGATGGTCTAGTTGGTTATGGCGTTCGGCTGTAATGGAAGTTATTGTAACCGAAAAATCACCAGTTCGATTCTGGTTCGGGGGACTCTTCTTTTATCTTTTTCCATTTTTTTTACCACTTTGGTGACTTCTCTCACATAGAGTATAATCGACCTTGCGTGGAGGAAACTCAATTATTTCACTGGATCCAAGGCCACTGTAATGCCATAATTATCCATCATTGTATCCTTGAAACCTCGTGTTGTTCTTTGTAAGATGAATGGAATGAAATATGCTTTGCGCCGGCGTCATTTCCGAGCCGGAGTTGGCCTGTACGATTTTACTTAATCCCTAAACTATAATTGTAGAGCGCGTGACTTGTACATTTTAAGTGTCAGATGATCAAAAATGCAGCCCCGTTTGTTGTGTGTGCGTTAGGTAGTTGGTTGAATGACTTCATGACCATAGCTATACAGTAAGTCTATCGTACAGTATGACTCTACGCTTGCTACTTTCGGCTACGAAATGCAATTGCTCCAGGTTTCCGATAAAAAATGTCGTATATCTAGGTACGGCCGAAATATAATGGCCAGGTCTGAGCGGCCAGTCCAACGATCCCCCGATGGTCTAGTTGGTTATGGCGTTCGGCTGTAATAGGAATTTCATTGTAACCGAAAAATCACCAGTTCGATTCTGGTTCGGGGGAATCAACTGCGTCTATTTTTTTTCTATTCTTTTTCCCCCTTCTTCTTCTGATCAGTAGCCCAAAGGACAGGTCATCTCAACCTGCGCCTGGTCTGCAAATACGAAGCTATATCGAGGCATCTTTTTTATGTGGACTTTCAGTCCCCAATCTAATATATAAAGCATTTTCTTTATTATCGCATAGTAGCAGTCAACAATTTCAGAGAAGGATTTGTTTTCATTCTTAAAATTTTGCTTTATATAATCTAGATTCAATTTAGTATTCTCTCAGCTTATCTCTCTTGAAGCTTCCAAGTTCTGAATTATTCAGAGAGTGATAAAACCTTTTTGGTTATCTGTTGCCTCAAGCTATTATCGCCCCATCTCGGTCAAATCTCACTTGATTTTGTTATCCACGCGAATTCTTGCTCATCGATTTCTCTTATCTAAGCTTAACCGGATTAAGCACCCCATTGGGGCGCGACCGACCTGAGGGGCGGACCAGCTGAAACCCTGATAGGCCACCATCTTACTCTTCGGTCAGCCCTCCGCGGTATTCAAGCCTAATCCTACTAGCCTACTTCTTCCACCTTCCTCTGTAACGTGTGAAATTTCTTCTTGGGCCTCGGACCCATGGATGGCCCAGGGGCCGGTCGCTGGCTAAAGAGGTTGAAATGGCGTCTGTCGAATCACGGCGCGTCTACGGACAAGCTGTGGGCGGGGATCTAAGGGCGTATCACGAATGAGAAGGATTCGATAACGCAATTTTGGCATCCACTTTGGCTTCATACCACTGCTATTCCTCTCCCCCCATATTCATTTTCTCAACCATAATGGTCAGCCCTAGCTCGTGCCACCTGCACAATTCGCACTTTCTAGCCATTCGGCGTTGAGCCGACCGACTTGGCAGCTGGGGTGTGTGAAAATGCTGCAGTGCTGCTGCTCGATTGCGCCATCGCCCCCTTACCTGATGCGGAGAAGGGCGAGGAGTCACTCGATCATGGAAACTTTTCTATAACTGCGGGCTGCCTCACCCCTCTTTGCGTCGGAACGAACTGCTTGGGCATGCGTCTTTTCACCTCATCCGCCTCTGCGCGCTAGATCTCAGCCTCAGGCTCTTCACCATGGGCCTATCCACGATCTTTCGACGGAAGCGAGATGATGCAGCGCCTTCTGATGTCGGCGATGTGTCGCCCGTCGCCACCACCACGGGCTACCGGGAGGACCAGACGTCCGACTCCGTATCCAAAGCGGCGTCCGTGAAGGAACAGCCCGTGGACGATTTGGAGAAGAGTCAGAAGACCGAAGAGCCCAATGTGGTCGAAACCGCAGCCGAAGAAGACCCCGAGATCGCCGCGCTGCCCCTCGAGGTGCGCCAGTTGGTCAGTCTTACTGACGACCCAACCCTGTACACCATTACCTTTCGATACTTCGTTCTCTGTGTGATATTCGTCGTACCCGGTGCCTTCTTGTCCATGATGAGCCACTTCCGTACCACCGAAGCCCCATACTCCGTTTTCTTCGTGCAGATCGCGTGCCACTATGCGGGTCACTTTCTGGCGCGGGTCCTTCCAGCCTGGGTGATCCGCGTGCCCTTTACCCGTTGGTCCTTTAGCCTCAACCCGGGCCCGTGGAGCATCAAGGAACACGTTCTGGTCACCTTGACGGCGGCATCCGGAGCTACCTACAACCTGGGATATACCCCGATCGCAATGGCAGAGCTCTACTACGGCGAGCGAGTCAATCCTGCCGTGGCTATTTTCTTCATGTTTGCGATTGTCTGGATTGGGTATGCTTTCGCAGCACTGGCCCGCCAGCTTCTGCTATATGACCCCAACTTCATCTGGCCACAGGCCCTCATGCAGACTACGTTGTTTGAAACGTTCCGGAAACAGGATGTTTCATCCCCCCTCGCGCGGCGGCAGATGAAGGTTTTCTTCCTCTGCTTCCTGGGAATGACACTATGGCAGTTCTTGCCCGAATACGTCTTTCCGTTCACATCTTCCCTCGCCTTCTTGTGCTGGGTCGCACCGCATAACGCTGTGGCCAACTTCCTGGGATCTGGGTTGGGAGGTATGGGCTTGCTGAATCTGTCCCTCGACTGGTCGAACATCAACTGGAACGGTTCTTCGATCCTTCTTACCCCATGGTGGACGCAGGTTGTTTTGTTCCTGGCCTTCGTTTTCAATTGTTGGGTCTTACTCCCAGCCGCGAAATGGGGAAACCTTGGATCTTACAAGCACGGCCTTATGTCTAATTCTCTGCTGACAGTGAACGGAACGACCTACCCTACCCTCGAGGTAGTTACCTCCGACTATCAGCTGAACGAGACCGCCTACGCGGAGTACGGTGACATGTACATGGGTCTTCAGAATCTCTGGGCGACCTTCTTCGACTATGCGAAAGTGACCGCAGCAATTACGTGGATCTTAACCTTCGGCTTCGTCCAGATCCGAAACAATCTGATGAAAGTCATTCGGTCGCGGCAGAAAGCGTCGCAGGAGAAGGGTCAAAGCATCAACCACCAGTATCACGATCGTCTCAATGTTCTCCAGCGAACCTACAAGGAGATCCCCCTCTGGTGGTACGTCGCGCTTTTCATGGCTGGCTTTATCGCTTTGATCGTGACGATTGCCTGTGGCTATCTGTGGATCCCGATCTGGACATTGTTTGTGGCGCTGGCGAGCGCCGCCGTGTTGGTGGTCCCCTTTGGCTTTCTCTATGCCATTTCGAACTATCAATTGGCAGTTGGCTCCTTTAATGAGTTGGTGTATGGCTACATGGTCGAAACCCCTGCTGGAAAAAGCCATCGGCACCCCTGCGGACCGTCTACGTACGGATCGATTGCCGGCGATGCCTGGTACCGCGCGCAGTACATGCTGCAAGACCAGAAGATCGGTCACTACATGCATATCCCGCCACGCACGGTATTCTTCTCTCAGATATTTGGCACTATCCTTGGTATTCCAGTGAACTACGCCGTGATTCGATGGGTCCTCAATACGAAAGGAGACTACCTGTCGGGCAAGAAGACGGATCCGCTGAACCAATGGTCTGGTCAGTCTTTGAAATCCTCAAATACTCTGGGTGTCCAGTATGCAGTTCTCGGACCCAGCCGATTGTTCAAGGAGCAGGAGATGAAGCCTCTACCCTGGGCGTTCCTGGTGGGCGCGGTGCTGCCCCCTATCCTGTACATTATGCATCGCACTCTACCGCGCTGGCTCCGCATTGATCTATGGAACGTCAGCATTTTCTTCTCCGGTTTGTCGGTCTTCTACGGCAATATCAGTACGGGATATACATCGGCAATTATTGGCGGATATGTTGTCATGTACTGGGCCTACCGGTATCGGTTTGAGGTCTGGAAACGCTACAGCTACATGGTGGCCGCTGCTTTCGATGCGGGTTTCAACCTGAACATGCTGTTGATCTTCCTGTTCTTTGGCTCGGGAAAGCAGATTTCCATGCCCAACTGGTGGGGTAACAACTCTGACTCGGTGGAACGGTGCTTTGCCTTGGATTGATTCTTTGATCTACACTATTAAAACGCCATTCTATGCGGCTTCTAGCGTTCAGGCCACCTTCAACTGACGAGGGTGGCTTTTCTGTATCTAATATGTACATGAACGGGGCTGAGGAATCGTTCTAGACCGATTCCCCAACCTTATGATAGATGAAATGCAGTAATGATATCCCCACTTTGCTTGTGGTCCGTGGTAATAGCCATCTACTCGTTCGAACTACTTTTTCCTGGGCACAGTATTCGGGTGGCGTATATTAACTACCCGAGGGTTGAAAGTTACTTGAGGATGCACAGACCCCCGGAATATGAAGGATTCCCATCTCATCGAGCAGATGGACGAGCATCTGCGGTGGTTCCCGGCACGATCGGTCGCTGCTCGTTGCCGCAGATACTGGATGATGATGCCGTGGCTGAAACTCTACTGACACTCAGCCACCAAGACGGGAGGGAACGAGGGATACTCAACTCTTCTCCAGTTACTTAAACGCGACCGGGCTTCAGTTCTTGCCATCCGTCAATTTGCGTTAGGATCGACATGATAGAACAATAATAATGCCCCTTCTTCGGGGAAACCTGCCGCTGCTTGTCGGCTCTTCAAAATGGACGTGCTGGGAAGAGCTGCTGGTGATGACACTCTCCGGGGGACTCTGTCGCACCCATGGTTACGCACCACCAATCAGATCCTCGCCGGTATTTGGATTTTCCTCTGCGTGATATCACTCGTCATGCGAATATACACCAAGATCCACATCATGCGGAAGTTCTGGTGGGATGATGGTACGTTTTTCTATGCTTATATGAGGTGGAGATTTGAGTGGTTGGTGGCTAATACAGCCTGCAGTCTGCTTAATCCTCGCTTGGGTATGGTGTAGCAGCGATAACCTCGTCTCAGTCCTTGCACTCACATGTCTCTGCTATCACAGATTTTTTCGATTGGCACGCAATCAGTTATCCTCTGTATGTTTGTACGGATTGATGTGATTTTGGTTGTTCAACTCTAGAGCACACAGAATCTAACCGCCCTCTCCCTATAGACGGTTACACTTATGGAGGCTATGGAGTCCATATCGAGTACCTGTCTCCCGCGGTGCTCGAAATCTACGTGAAAGTCCGTCCTTCGATGTTGCTTCTTCCTCGTCTTCTATCCTGCTGTGGTCTCGTCGCTGAGCCAGTAACCAGACTCTCCTTTCTGCCGCCATCATCTACGTCCCTGCCCTAGCTGCGGCCAAATTCGCTCTGCTGATGCTCTACTATCGCCTGTTGCACATGATTCGCATCTGGAGAAACATCATTTTTCTCGTTACCTTCATCATTGCCGGCTACACGATCGCCCTCACCTTGGGTCTCATCTTCCCTTGCCAACCCATCGCTAAAAACTGGGACTTGACCATCACTACCGGCCACTGCGTTGACCGCGTCGGGTTTTATCTCGCTACGGCCATTACCAACACCGTTAGCGATATCATATTAATCCTTATCCCCATCCCAGTCATAATCAAGCTGAAACTTCCATTGATCCAGAAGCTCGGGGTCGGCTGTATGTTTGGGGTTGGTTGCTTGTAGGTGATCCTCCTTTCAATCCCCATGTTATCCCCTCCATGGTTGACCAAACTCATTACCCCACAGAACTATAATCACCAGCATCATCCGGCTGGCGACTCTAATGCCGCTGGTAACGTCTGATGACCAATCATACGAAATTGCTCTAGCCGTCATCTTCATGTGCGTACGGTCTACATTATACCAATACCGGACGGATCTTATTGACACGATCTACAGCGTCATCGAAGCCAACTTCATCATTATCTGCCCCTGCCTTCCGTATCTGAAACAGTTCCTGCGCTTCCATGCGCCCTGCTGGATTGGTGACTCCGGCAGCAACAGCAGTCAGTCGCGACCGTCGGCTTCTTCCAATTCTAACTCTATTCCGTCGAGTAATAGGCGCAAGCCGGGGTTGAGCGTGTTGCAGGATGATATTGAACAGGCGCTTAGTCCACCGATGGAGGCGCATTGTGCTTGTATGGTGGGTGCACGACAGGGTAGTTCTACTAGTGATGAGTCAAGAGAGTTGATTGGGGAGCGGAAGTAGTGCGTTTGTCGATACGTTTTATGTTTGCATGTTATACTTGCAACTAGTATATATGCTTTATTTGGTTTAGCAATTAGATGGACTGTACATATATCAGAAGTCATATTGTGTCAAGATATGAAGACATGTCACTTATAACGATTCTCCCTCTCTTCAATCCATCAAGTACAAACAGGAGTCGCCGTCGGCTTCACCACCGCATTAGTGGGATTCGTCTGCGAGCACCCATCAATCAATCCCAGCAAGTAATCATCCTCTGCGGCCTTGTATGCTGCTCCGCAGTTGGGGTCACTAGTACACAATATTAGCATGTCTCATTCACATAATCTTACTTTATTATTTCTTGTAGATAGAGCCACTCACCTAGCACCCCCGCTCGCATCCTCAAAATACGAGCAGATATCATGCGAAAAGCAATCCTGGGTGTAGACATTGCCCAGTGCGATACCGCTACATCCTGATCCGCAGCGTCCGTTGCAGGAGTAACTGTTGTTTGAACAGTAGTTGGGTTAGCTTTTCAGTTTTTCCAATAGTGTTGATGTGGTGACAGAGAAGAAACATATGGGATAAGTGAATTGGAAGTGAAGCAAGAAAAGAAAAAAAAAGAAATAAACATACTCTCCATCACCATCACTATTCTCCCCATAATTACTGCCTACCACACCCACATACGTGCAGGTTTGATCGGCACTGTTGGTCCAGCTGGCTGTTGCGGTGGCGCCGACTTTGAGGCATGTCACGCTGCGTTTTTGGTGGGTAACGGAGGGGTGGGCGGTTGCGGTGAGAGTTAGAGATACGGTTAGGAGGAGGGTGGAGAGGGAGATCATTTTGGATGGCTGTTCTCTGTGATGAGATAGGGTTGAAAGGTGATGGTTTGAGAGGGGGTACTTCTAAGTACACAGATTACTGTAAGCTGGAAGATCAGTGAGGGGACAATACTATGTTAAATATGAAGTTGCCTACGGGGTACCTCATCTCCTGTGAAGGAGACAGTAGTACTACTCTACGTGAAATTTGCTTGGTCGGGTTTCATCAGTCACTATAAAGTAGTGACTATTCTTCTCCTTCCTATAGGCGGGCGTGATATTGTCCGTTACGGAGAATGCTCCGAGTAGAGGTGATCCTCCGCAGTGATGTATGATTCATGTACGTACGTCTGCCGCAGGCTACTCAAGCTTTCTTCCCCTCTTTCTGCTCGGCGGAATTCTCGGCCATTGAATGTGAGGGGATAGGGGGTATGGGCATCCTGCAGATCCACTTCAGGGATTGCATCAGGGCTTCTTAAAATGACGTTTCGGGTAGAAACAGGGAGGTGGAGGAATTAAGGCGTTATGATACAGCGGTGCAGTATCTACGTGGCGGTTGTTACATAAAAGTAGAAAGTACTGTATACAAGAGAGAGATTCTGTCTGTCTAGAAAGATAGCTGAATTCCCATTGATATCGTCTGAAAAACATCCTCAGATTCTGGGTGCCTGACATGACACCTTAACGGTCAGGTACCCACCCTTAACTGAAGCTAGCTGGATAGGGAATAGTGCAGGGGCCGGCATCCTTCATCTTTCTTCACACAAGATTATATCCAGGCTTCTGCTTCTTACCCCTGAAAGGTGCAAACAAGTTTTGATATTCGGACGTATACAAAAGTCGTCTTTGTGATTATATTTATTGCAATCAACATCTGTTCAATCTTCGCACAAGTTGACTCCAGCGCCTACGCGGAGTCATAGATTGTGGCCCTACGCATATCACGCACATATCGTCCTTGATATGAGCCACCACAAGATCGGTGCATCACGCAAGTATTGTCCTAATAACGTTAGCGTTGCTTCTGGCTTCTACAGAAAGATCAAGGTGATATACATACCCACATAATCATATCTCCATCGTTCAGCCAGTCCACGGTGAGCACATATTTGTCCTGACTGGCATGCCGCATCAAAGCCTCGATTACGGGCTTGCTGTCTGCCTTGCTCCTCCCGTCTATCCGGTATGCATGTGATCCCATGTACAGATTCATTCGTTTGCTGGGCTTGTGCAGTTGTGCAAGTTGATGACGCCCACGCGCTCTTGCAGCCTCGGGCAACCAACACAGCACCAAGATCCGCGCCAAAACGAAACAGAACATCAGGAGCAGGCTGATGTCCACAATATCGACCCAAATCCCCAATACACGGGCTATGAGGCCCTATAAACGATAATGGTTTGGTTAGCACAATTCGATGTTTTACTAGGGAAGTCGCTTTCTCGAAGCATGTCGTGAACATACCACCGCCATCAGATATGGGAAACGACGCAGGTCATCTAGGTCGGAGACGGCAACCACCAACCTGATGAGCCAATTATCCGGGGCTCCTAGATATCGACTCTGCATGATTGAATGCCATAGCACATGATTCTGGATTTCGGCTTTCGTCTCCTCAGCGAGATCCGCATAAGCAGTCCTGGTGTCGGCAAATGCCGTCGCGCCGCCGGTTCCCTTTGGGGGCAGTTGGTGCGCTCGGAGGAGGCTATATCCCGCTCGGCGCTGGGTGAAGGAGCCATCCACGTGGAAGAGGCGTGTGCCCCGGAATAGCTGCGCCCGCCAAGATGATGGCGATAAGACCCGACCCTTGCTGTCCACATTCCCAACATCCATCAGCTTGCCTCTGGAACCGAGTCGATCTGGCACTCCCGGTTTCCCGACCGTGTTATCCACTATCGGTTCGCCTAATTGACAAGCAAAGGCAAAGTGGCGCGTATCGTTAAGTTTGGTGGCGCGGAAGACCAAGACGCCGTATGTAGCCATCGCGGCACGAAGCTCTTCGATGACGGCATCAGGGACTGGTTGCGAAAAGTCCACGCCCTCACACTCGGCACCAAACGTGGGGTGAAGGCGGCGAAAGGTCAAGGTTGGAGTGCCAATGGCCATGGTGGCCGTTCTGGCCGTAGTAGTCATGGTTGCCATGGCTAGCCAAAGGGAGCGTTGTGTATGTCACTTGACAAGTAGCAGCGTGTGAAATCAGGAACCAACAGTGTGTTTGGGTAGGTAGGTCAAAGCTTGGTTATTATAAGTATAAGACCCAAGTAGTCGGACATGATTGAAGCCATGTGTGCCAAACTTATAGCTGTGGTGATGGCACTTGATGGCTAATTAGTCCCTTCCCAGATCAACTTATGCCAAATGTGGCAAAAGCTGATAGAGGGTAGTAGCCGGCATGATGAAATGCAATAAATGTTCAATGTAAACAATAGAACGCAAGTGTATTAAGAGGCCAGTGGGCTTTACAGAAGTCGACCGCTTCTTCGTGACTTTTTTATCACATAATCTATGCTTGCTTCTGCGACTCTTCCCACCATCCCTTGCGCAATACACTCGATCCGTCAAACCGCGGATCACGATCAAACAGAAGGGCATGAACCTTCTATTCCAAAGAAAATCTGGATAGGCGGAGCTGAATAGCAGTATCTTCCAAGTATATCGAAGGGATGGTTTTCTTCGTGTACCCCCAAAACTGCGTGCTCTTCTGACATATCACCAGAAGATAAACTACCCTTACAGTAGTAGCTCTGCATATTGAGCATGTATTGGGGATATATTGAACTTTAGCCAAGGTGACTGCCAGAGCCAGCATGACCACCACATGAGTACAAACCCCCAGTTTGTCCAAATATAACTAAATGGTTGTTATAGTTGTTTCAAGGGTTATACCTCGGCCTCTTCAACGTCATCATCATGTGACCATTCCACTTACCTAATTCTTATTCCCCCCCGCCAAAAGAAGGTCCCTCTCTTTCTTACTTTCACTCATCCCACCGATAAACCCCACTGCAGGTTTTAATTGACTGTGATTTTCTGCAAGATTCTGCATAGCGGTTGCATGGGACATTCCTTCCCTTTTGAGCTATCATCAATTGACTTGTCATCATTAACGGAGCGTTACTAGTGAGTCCCCATCTGTGCTTCTTCCCCGCATGGGGGATTCCATCCATACCCGTCACTGGGATATCTGACTTGTCTTCTTGCAACTCCAGGAACGACCACCATGGCACCTCCCCAGATCTGCGTGATTGGTTCTCTGAATATTGACTTTGTCACCTACACTCCACGTTGCCCCGATGCCGGCGAGACCCTGACAGCCAATTCCCTCGCTATCAGCGCCGGAGGGAAAGGTGCCAACCAGGCGGTCGCGTGCGGTCGCGCCTCCTTCGCTTCCAAAGATAACCAAGATGCGTCGGTGTATATGATTGGAGCGGTCGGGGCGGGTGATCCCTACTACTCGGCACTCCTTCGCCCAACATTGGAGGGTTCCGGAGTCAGCACAACGGGAATCCAGGAAAAGACGGACAGCCAAACGGGCTCTGCTACAATCATCGTGGACGAAGGAGCTGGAGGAGAGAACCGAATCTTGTTCGTCCCCGGAGCTAACTACTCGGGAATGGATAATGCAGACGCAGTCCTCGCTACCACTCGGAATATCCATCTAGAACAAGGCGTTGTCGTGATGCAGGGCGAGATCCCGAGGTCGACCACCTTGGACTTGATGAAGCACTTTAACAGCGCTTTCTGCGCTTCTCACCTCGTATTCAACCCTGCACCAGTCTTCACAGAAGGTATTCCCCTCGCCGCTCTTGCCGGCACGAGTGTACTGGCCATGAATGAGACTGAAGCTGTCCTCATGACCCAGGCGGTCAAGGAGCATCTCACTCCTGCCCAGCAGGAGCAGGACTTGAAGCCCGAGGAACTTGCATCTCTATTCCACAAACATGCCCAGGTCCAGATCGTTCTAATTACTCTCGGAGCTAAGGGTGCCTATTACTCAACGGCCACTGGCAAGCAGGGCTTTGCCCCCAGCGCAGCGGTGGAGAAGGTTGTAGACACCACTGCCGCCGGAGACACATTCGTCGGTTACTTCGCTACTGCCTTTGCGAAGTTCGTTGCCACCGGTGCTCCACTGGCGGACTTCGATGCCCAGATCGAAACGGCCGTTCGGAAGGCGAATGTTGCCGCCGCAGGGTGTGTGCAGAGGAAGGGTGCGATGCAGAGCATCCCGTTCGCTTATGAAATCTAGAGCATGACAGTGAACCACCTAATGGTTGCTCCCGTCGGCCAGGGGAGTATTCGCCCAAGATTATTACCAAACCGGACTTTTCGGGCTATTGATCCGAGATTAAAGTCGACATGAATCACGACCGTAGCCTTTCATACCATCAATCTGCTGCCAAATTTGACAAGGAAGCCATAGTTGCAAATATGCAGCGTCTCTCAACCTAGATCATACACCACCATACATCCTCCCAGAAGGGACTACAGATACAATACCGGAATCAAACTTATAGACTCGGCTTGCCTGAAACCTGGCTTAAGATGAATGTGATACATGTATTGATAGAATAGCCTATTCAAACTGTGGCTACCGTCATTGGGGCCGTAATGATTCGACCCAACCGTGCACATCTAATTCTCCACCGTCTTTTCCACTTCAGTGGTCTGAATAGGAGTCTCCTCCGCACCGTCTGCATAGTTGGCTTCATCGGTCATGAACTCATCATTGTTCAGGTACCTGAATCGGTACCAGAAGAAAATGGTCTGGAGAGCGAGGGCAACAGCAGGGGCACCCCAGATCCAGATCAAGTCGGGATCCTCAGTGACTGGCAGAAGGATCTCTCCCAGCGCACTGGACAAAGCAGTCATGAAGAGGAAGATTGCCATGACTAGACCCCTCATACTCGCGGGCGACCGGGCATACGCCAGTTCATACGCCGTCACGTTGCAGAAGATTTCCGAGAGGGCCCCCAAGATGGTGTTCGGCAGCTGCCACCAGATGCTGATGGGACTGACCTCCGAACAGGAGGAGGCATAGTAGCCGCACGGCGAGGTCTTGTATACGCGCCACTGGACCAGGGCACCGCACAGACCGGAGAGTGCGGCTAGGATGAACCCGAATGTGATACGAGTGATTCGCTTGAACGGAATATTGTACCGATAAAGCAGTGGATAGATAAAGTAATCGACGATCGGCACAGCGATAATGATGGTCAAGGCATTGAAGTTGCTCAGAAGGTCGTTGGGGGCACCGTTGGTTGTCATAGACGCACCCTGGTTTGTCGAAACAGACCCGATCCCGCCGTCATTGAGATTGTAGATGGGAAAATAGAAGAAGATCTCCGTTGCCACGAGAGTTCTGCGCACATCATCCACCAGCTTGTCGGTCCAGTCAACCTGGATCCCCTTGGCTGCCAGGACACTCGGTTTCGCCGCATCGAAGAAGTTCTTGCGCCAGACCTGCCAATTGTTTTGGCGCAAAGCAGTGACGGTGATCTTAATTGCCTTGGCGAGATCCGAGTTCCCACTGGGCGGCGTTCGGTATGTCTTCTTATAGGCAGCCGCCAGCACCACCGGCAAGATAAAATAGATAATTCCGGCCAGCAAGAAGGCCAGCCAGTAACCCACATATTTCTCCGCATATGTGGTGGCCAGCATGTAAAATGCTCCCACGTTGATCACTCCGTAGAAGATGAGCATCGTCCGAGTAGCCGTCATCTCGGGATCCACAATGACCTTCTCCCCAGTCTTCAAAACCTTGGTGTACTGCTTTTGATGGCGGTATTGGTCCAGGACGGTGGGTGCGATATTGGGCTTAAAGATACCGGCTCCAAGGGCCAACAGCAGAAGCCCGATGATGAATGGGGGCGCTGCGTGCGCTGTCCCAGCCTGCAGCACTGACGGAATCGCGCCGATTATCTGAATGATGTGGGCAATACCACAGATGGCGACACCGACACAAATGGCCCAGTACCGACCAACGTATACGTCGGCCCACCTGTTATTGTGAGCGAGTCACGCACGTGTGTACAGTTTGGGGATCGACGTACCATCCACCAAAGATGGGAATGACATAGGCAAGGAACTGAAATAGCAATACCAATCCGTCACTAGCCTGGAGTCCCATTCCCAGCGCACCGGCCGTCTCCTGTGTCCCTCGCGGAGGCGCACCCGCACCGTTTCCTCCTGCAAGAAGCCAGTCAGCGATATGAGAACTAGGGGTTATCGGGCCTGAAGAGAACCTTTCGGAAGAGGAAACTCGATGAAGTTGGAGAAGACCGTCTGTGCGCCGTAGTACGATGCTCGTTCGGCGAATTCTACCAGACAAAGGGAGTATGCGATGATGGGGAGATAGGCCGGGACCTTGCGAAGGCTGTTGACTTCTTCCTCTGTGGGTGGCGGGTACTCCTCGTTCTCCAGCGCTTGTGCATCCACCTCATAGACATTCTTCTCTGGATCGGACTTGTCCTGTACTTGGATTGGACCATTGGTGGCTTCACTGGTGATTATGGCATCGGCGATGTGGGTTTCGCCGGTTGAGGTAGCTACAATCGTCCACTGCTGTCAGTTTCGGGTACAGCGCCATACACCTGGCTACACTTACCCATATTTCGTTGATCGGGCGTTGAGACGCCAGGAAGATTTACTGAAGATTGTTGAGCACTGACGACCCCCTAGCCAGATGAACTGGCTGCACAGCTTCTGGTCTTTATAGCATGGCTGCTAGCGAGGTCGGACGGATCTCCGGCGGTGGTCAGACAATGGGCTAAATACCCCCAGACGATGCCATTGCAGGGGCGAATGCCTGGACAGGCATATCGCGCAATGTAGCACCAGTCTTTGCTATCAATTGGGTCATTTAGGACATTTTCTCCACTAGCAGGGATCTGTGCTTTAGAAATTGCCTATCAGCCCTAGCCTGTCCCACTCACCATCGCTGATTCGAATCAACGTCCGATGATAACGATTTGGCCGTCCTTTGCGCCATCGGAGCCCACCAACCAAATCGAGGTATCGATATTAATATCATTGCCTGCGGATGGGGTCAAGATAATCTGTAGTGATGCCATTTGCTTGGACACTTCCCCTGCTCGACGCATATCTGATCATTCCCCTTTTGTTCCTGTCGGGTGACCTTATCATACCCGACCATTGGCTGGAGGGTTACCCCATAACTATCGACATGCGGGATGCCAGTGACTTGCATCTCCTGATCGGAGCGTTGAGATAGTCCACTGTTCACTTTATACGTGATGGGGTGCTCATGGTGGATGAGTTTGATGTTGAGATTCACTTTGTTCGCTGAGGTGCGCAGCCCTTAGTCAACTACAATCCGAGAAGCAGCTTGAAGATAAAGGAAGTTTAGAGCCAAACACACCCGCCATTACAGCGGACCTGAAGTTAACTTCACGGCCAAAGTTAGTCTCACAATATCAGCTTCATCAGTACGTCCTGGCTGACCAGGTGGTGGGTTTGGGTTTACATCCCCTTCGCCCAAGCACCAGCTAAGACCGCCGCCACAGGCTACCTGGAAGCTTAGCGCCATCTGGAAGTTGCTGAATTGGTGTTATCTGGCAGCCTATTGGCAGGCCAGTCTGTCTCTGTTCAACTTGGCAGGGGTTCGTGGTGCGTGGGGACGGTCAACAGGAGTCAGCAGCCACCACGGCAAAGCATTCCTCCCGCTCCCTCTCATTTGCTCGTATCTTACCTCCTTCGCATCTAGTGGAGGTCTTATCGCTGATGCCAGGATCTATATATGCCAGGTTACATTTGGAACAATATCAAGCATAGCATGGCGTCTTGGCATTCTATGGCTTTATCGGACACACGACCCAAGGCTCGCCCACAGGTTCGTGGTGAGATTGTGGGCCTGCTAGCAGACAATTTACGGTAGCCACCCTTTCTCGAGTGGCATTATATGCATTTCCAAGGAATGGGGGTGAATTGCGACCGGGCAAAAGTTGGCCATTGTGTCATGTTGATGGCCGATGAGAATGCGTATAGACCGTGCAGTGGTTCCTGTCCTTATTGTGTTATGACCTGTGAGCTGCTAGAATTAAGGTATCCAACACGCGAATCACCAAGGGATATTCTATGGCCACAGTCATGTCAAATGCCCATAAAGACTTTGCACTACGTCGTTTTTAAAAAGGGGCCGAATGCCCGGACGGCCGTCGGTTACAGTGAGACAAGGCCAAGTGTCCCCTAATTGGAGCCTGTCTTGATTTTTTCGGCTACTACTTCAGCTATCCAGACCCGGGCAATTCTCGCTGGTGATGTCGGTGATATTGGTATAAGGGTAAGGGTCAGTCCAGATGAGATCGAACCTGGAATGCATGCCTAGTTAGACGCGTCGACTACAAATTGCCTTTGCGACTTTCTTCGGGATAAACTTACCGGTCATCGGGGTAGGTAGGTGCATCATCGTCACCCAGCTTCTCAGCGATCTTGGTTAACTCCTTGTGCTCCCAGCAGATCAAAATGTTGTCGCTGCCGGTGTAGTCCTTCACCAGGTCCTTGACACACTTTGTGTCTTTCTTCGAGCAGGATGTGTCGACAGTGAGGCCCAGTTCCTCTGCTAAAGGGAGAACCGTTTCGTATGCGCGGTCGCGTTTTCCATCTGCGAGTCTGTTAATCCCTGACGGCTATATACAGAGAGACCAGATAACACATCGCAAGGCTGATGTACCTGACTTGGGTTGTTCTGCAATAATATATCCGATGTCATAATCGGAATCCGGGCCGAACACAGTCTTCAAGCAGTCGGCCCGCTCAAAACCCACAGCATTGAGGCCGGTGCTTCCATTGCTGGGCTTCTCGCCGTGGCGAATGAGATAGACGGTCGGCTCGGCAAGAGCCAGCGTTGCCGTGGCCAAGAGGCCGAGAGACAGTGATAACTTGCTGTACATTTTACACTTGAATGTTATCAATTGTGCAGAGGGCAGAAGAGAATACGGTCGCTCACTGTCCGGATGTCCCGCCCCTTATGTATCGGTGGATATCCAAGATCAGCAAAAACAGCCCCCACCAGACGAATCACCTCCGAGTTCCCTTTCCAACAAGGTTTCCGATGAGAAACATCGCCATCTCCGGCTGCTACGAATGGGCTTCGCCACGATGCCACTAGCACATTATGATTGGGTTGGATGCTAGTCAAGCCTTGCACGTGGGACAATGCCCTACCGGCAATGGCTTTGAATGACTTGTTGAATTGTGATCCATCAGGGCCACTTCGCCGGTCGATCCCGCCCGCTAAAACCGTGGCCACCCAACTCCGGATCCTTCTTTCCCCAGCGTTCTTGTTGCAAAAGTGCTGTCTTCTCCGATCGTTCCAACAGCTCAGAAGCTGGGATGGTGCATCTCATTGGTTTAGAGCGGCCGCAATGGTAGCGCCCCTTGCTATCCATATAGATGAGTTGTACATCAGCGCCTCTCTGCCGGTGAAAGATGCTACCTTTGCCGGCACGGGTGGATCGTGGATGAGACCGCCCGTCCCGGCTGGCGGAGCCATCTTTGAACTCCGTCTCGAGGTCTTTCGCTCGCTACAGATGCCATTTCCCCCCCCTCCATACTTTCTTACTGGGCGAACCTTTGATCATTGCAGATGACCTAATTTTACTGACACCGATCGACCCGGAGATAGCCGGCCCGCAGCGATCGATCGACTGATCCTAACCCCGGGTGGACCAATCAATGACCCACAAGTACCATGAAAAATCACCCGTTTCCGATTATAGCCAGCAATACAGCCTAGTAGCATGTTGCACAGAATCGTAACCAGCTGAGTGGATATGAATCGCTCCTGTGAATGACAGTCTGAGTCAACAGAACAGTCCGAAAAGAGCGATTGTCCAGGTGAACAATCAAAATATGTTGCTTCGCCACAGTGTCCGGCCATACCTTGATGATGAACATCTCTGCCAAGGATGGATGCTTTGTTCAAAACTAAAAATCTCGTTCTTGAATTTCGCTGACCCCGATGGGATTGACTTTCGTGTGGCGGACGTGTCATGCCATACAAGTACTAGTTATGGGAACGCCACCAGATCCGGACTATTGGGTGTGAGCAGCAAGGCTGTTCTGCATGCGAATAAAACCTACCTATATTTACAGACATGATTAAGTTAGTAGCACCACACAGACCGCCTTTCTCGACACCTTCCATTGCCGCAACGTACGCCTGTTGGTCTGTAAGGTTTGTTCTGCTTAATGACTAAGGTATGACGCACACCCGAGAAGATCGAATGTCAGATATTCTCGCCGTGACTGACAAGATCTGACATACCCCGAGGAATAGTAAGCTTAGTATTCAAGTCTTCCCCCCAAATCCGGTGAACTGATAACATCACGTATACATCTGCGCCTCCCGAAAGTCCGATTAGAAGTGACAATGAGATGCCTGAAATTGCATGGATGACTAATCTAGTACATCATGACTGGGTGTTCCGGGACGATGTTGGGGCTAATGAAATCCTCATAGGAGAATAGAGATACGTTAAAGGGGTTGGAGCGGTCCAGTGGAAGATAGGTGTAGTAGATATAACGATTGCTAAGAGCAGTAGCCAGTTTGGTATCAGTAGTAAGTATAGCATATCTAGTAACAGTATCGGATCTTTGCTTGCTCTACAACGTCAATTAATTGAGAACATCTGGCCGTAAACATCAAATACATTCTGCGTTGAACATCTGCTCAGGCCAATTGACAATTGTACGCCGTGGTAGGAAGCTGATGAAATGATCAACGAAGCAACTATTGCTTCAAACGTCATAAGCAAGACCCGTTGGGTTCTCAGCAGGCGCACTACAGTGTTATTAAACAGATGCAAAATCTGGTCAGCCTGATTCTGATCCCACGGCCGATCCGAAACATAAAGCTTAAGCTAAAGAGTCCCCTTTGAGAGGGGACTACAGGCCACACGGTGATGATATCAAGGTAAGCGGAATATATGCTTCATGGTTCGACTGGACCCCTGGCAGGCCGCTACCAGCAAACACCTCAGGGATGTTCACAAAATCCCAGTACCTGGCTCTGTGTCTGCCGGCCAGGAAGTTCACCGTGCCACCAGATCGTCGTATTCAATTGTCTCGAAGGCCGTGCTCCGGACCTGTTGCTCATGAACTGCGTGCAGGTTTGACATGGTGTGGTCAGCTTGAAGAGTCACTTGAACTGAACGTATTTTACACAGGCTCCCACAACTGCTTCGGCTTCTGGAAGCTCTACGAAGACGACGTCATCAGAACCGGTTATGTACGCTAGACAAAGGGCCCAATCTGTCTTGATGATGGTGACTATGAAGATTCTAGTAGGTACTGGCGGGTGAGAGATATTCGTGGTGCTCGTCATAAGGATTCCGCACTCGTGGGAAGGCGGCGAACCTGACAATGATCCGTAATCGAGATAGGTCATGCTGGAACGTCGAGGAAAATCGCACCAGAGCTGGTATGCCTGCGGAAGAGTATGGTAGTTCAGGCTGTGCAAGTGTCCCGGAGAGTCCACCGTCACGGCTATCTAAACCGTACCCTGATATCCTCGAACAGGCGAGGCATGCTGATGTCGTCATACTGAGCATGGGACAATCGGCCTTTGAAACATAGAAGGCATCATATATAAAGGAAGGTTTTGATATAAAGCTATGCCAGCGCCTCTTGGACATTGCTTCGGGGAGTATCTGAAGGAAGATTCCCAGATGCATGAATCTGGGTGTAATTCATCAGCATGGCCGGGATAGAAGATACGTGCTGCTAAAAATGGACCTATTTGTAGCTTCTCTTCTGACTGTATGATATCACCGACCGCGATGGATCCGGCGAAAGCTTGCTGAACGTGATGTCCCAATTCACTCAGCACCAACCGCTGACCGTGCAACTTCACCTGGTCATCCGGACGTACAAGCCACCCAGCACTGACGTTTGGGACGCCTATTTCCGCGTATCCCAGGTCAGATTTGGAGGCGTGATCACACATGACTGGAGTGCACTCTGCTGGGACATGTGCGCTCAGGAGACAAACCTTATCATGCCAGACTTCAGTGTCCTCTGTAGTGACGGTTCCCTGCCAAGGACTAACGTTTCGAGGTACAACAACTCGCTAGGAGTGCTGACGGGCGACGGTTGGGGTCAATAGTATCCCATTGGCTCGCACAAGCTTCGCAGTCAAGGCCAAATGCCCCATACATCAATTTTCTAGTAAAATACAAAGAGTTACTTGACAGAAATGCGGCTACAACGTCGATTGTTATCGCATCTCAGGCGTGATAGGCAAACTGTAGAACACGCGATATCGGCCGTGGCTGGAGTAGAGTAGCGAAGGTCTCCCACGAAACGGAAAGGGAAGCGTGCTCAACAACAGCCCCTTGGGGTATTCTAGTCGAGCCAGATGTGAAGAAAATGTACGCGGCGCTGTTTCCCCCAACATGAACCGTCTCAGCCAGCGAGAAGTTAACATTTTGAGTCCACAGGCGGTCATCGTTGATTTGCAATACTGTCGAGCACAGGATGCTTGCTTTGAAGTGGGTACCTTCATTTGCAATTTTCATTGATGTGGAAGATTCATTTGCAATAAATCGCAACCGAGTAGCTGGATGGGTGGGATCCTGAAGGACTAGACATAGCCCAGCTTTCCAGATTGCCAGGATAGCCAGCGGAACCCAGCGGCTCCTTTCCAAGCATACCAAAATCGGGTCCTCCAGCTTAACTTCATGGGCAAGGATATCTTGCGCGAATCCTGACGAGAGCTGATCAATTGCTCGTAGGTAAATTCGCCATCCCAGGCACAGACGGCGGAAGAGGATGGTTGGTCTGCGCATCGCTTACTGATGCTTTCGTATACCCAAATATTTGCCGAAGCTGTGGGTGGCTGCCTTGACTGCATGCGCTGTACCCGGCCCATATACAGGGCGTCAATGGTGCCAGAATTGGCAACGAGGGTGCCGGTATCAACATCGTCAAACTTGACCATATCAGCAGCTACCTGGACAGCGCTTAAAGATCATAGCCGAACGTGATATTCCACCTCGGCGTGCTCGATCCGCTGCCCTTGTAACTTGATTTGTGAAACCTTAGGGACCACGTAATGCAGAGATCCGTAGAAACTATGTCGTGCGATGTCTCCTATGCGGTAGATACTCGTGTGGACTAGAACTCCGCTTATGAAGCGGAGCCAGCGAGGCAGTGATACTGTAATCGTATCTCTTGGGCGTCGAGGATTGTTGCATATCTGAAACCAACGACTGGCCCTTCAACCAGGAGTTCTCCTTCAGCATCAAGTGGCAAAGGAGTGCTTATATTGTCCGAGTCTACTATCCAACAGGTGTCACTAATCGGGTATCTGATACTGTTAGGATCAGTTCCCAGCCTCATGCTTGAGTTGACTGAACACACCATACTGCACTCCGATGGGCTGTACGCGCTTATAAGCTTGATTCGAGTAGCCCACATTTCTATTATGATTTGCTGCAATGGCTCGCCCGCAGATACCAATGTCTGTAGTGTCGGGCCGTAAAGGTGAGAGGAGGTGAATGACCGATGCTGATGCAGCCATCCCTTGATACACTTGCTCATCCAACTCAGAGCAAGCCGCAGTCATTCCTCTCGCCTTGAAGCATAGCCAGTCCGACTGGACACATTGGCGGAGAACAATGGCCCAGATGCTGCGCAACAGCACTATGAGATCAATTCCTTTTCGGATGCTGCTTCCCAGGAGGATAGTGATGATGCCCGGGGGATCTCCCAGGTATGGAATTCCGTGTTACCACTAGCCTTCGGGGGTACCAGCGTGGGAAACATCCCAACGGCATGTCTTCTCTACTCCTTATTCTTATCTCTTAATTTTTTTTCCCCTTCTTCTCTTCTGCAAAACTGTGATTTACTCGACTGTGCTGAGATGAGTTTGGGGTATCCCAAGATGAAGAGGGCGGAAATCTTGTCCGGCAAGTGCATCCACGAATTCACTGAATAAGTACAAGGCAAGTCTACCTCCATGTACCTTAATCTAGGTGTGTACCTTTTACTTATTTTAGACTTCACCCGGCGCCTCCGCGGATGTGGCTGATGTCGCCGATGAGAATACTTCGATCCAGGGCGAGAAGTGGATTAGGATTGCATGCGGTGCGATCTGGAGGTGTCATCCCTTGCATTCCGATCTTGCAGTTACTGCATGCGTCGCGCGCCAGAGTCGAGCCGTAGTCGAGCCATATTTGTGCTCCACAGGAAAGAAGATCTAACTAAGTAATGCCCGACTTTTATCACTGTGGTAGGTGTGCGTGCCTGAACCTGGTTGCGCCCACGGGATTTTCAAGTAGCCTGGATGGTTCATCCTTTGTGGCAAAATATGAAGACAGCTAATTGCACAGTACCTGACTCAGGAATGTCTTGATGAAGAGTCCTGGGACCTGGTTTGGGAACAGCCTACTATGCCTGATACTTGTTTTGGCACATTGTGAATGTCTCGACTGGACGTCAATTCCACGAGGTCTGGCTGTCTGAACTGGAAGGCTATTCATATTGATGTTCAATTGTCGGCCAGATAAGACCGACAAAAAGAAGTTCCCTATTGAATTGCAGTCCGCTCTACTCTTCTTTCATTATGTTCCGTCGGACCACCGAAAAGCTTCAGAGCGGCATTCCTATATGTTGAATAGAAGCCGCAGGGTGCGAAAGTGACTAAATTCCGACTAGACGTCAATCCTACGAGGATGCAAGATTGAGGATCCGTGAGAGCATCCTATGGAAGGGGTTGCCTTCCGGGTCAACAATACTTTGGCCGCCTCGACAACTGGGCTACCTGCAGATGGTAATATCACCGCCAGGGTTGTACAAAGTAGCAGGCATCGGAGATTACGATTGGCCTCGGAGTTTTATCTCCGCGCTCGGATGTCCCATGGATTTGAGGACATTGATACATCACTGCGCGACTCGGACTGTAGTGGAGAGGTCCTACCGATGAGGCGTTTCTTCTGTGCGGGTGATCCAAAGTAGAATGATGAGAACAATCCGCATAATGGCGACAGAGGGATGTTGCACTCTGTCTGCGGTAAATTCCCGTCTGACATGGAATCAATGGCAAAAGGCACAATAGACTGGACTACAGTCTAGAACCCGTCTAGGCTCATCTATCAGGCGATCGCCGAGACGGGAGGGACTCACCTATTGCAGCCAAATTCAGGGCCATAGAATTGGGGTCACTACCACAAGTTGGCTGAACCTTCACCACCAGAGCTTGTTCGAGGCCAATCAATTCGGACGCAGGGACGAGTAATGGTGCATGGAGCGCGACAATGTCCATAAGGACTGGGGTATGAATGGCGCATCTGCCGTCACGGAGGTACACTCTTTCACCACCGGGCAGGCGGCAAGGGCTCCTGCATCGGACTAGGGGCATTTCTTTTATGTAATGAAGAGCGAATACCGGCTCCACACACTTCCCAACAGTATTCAGGCTGGTGCCTATCCCTGCCCTCCGTGATAGCCGTCCGACGTCAGAGTATGGCGTATCGACTCAATGGAGAGAATTCCAAGGCCAGAGAGGATCGTGATACGAACTGCCGGCGTAAAAAATCTCCACACGAGGAGAATCCGGGCGATGAATAAATGGCGCCCCCGCATTGGAGGTGAGCCAGGCCTGTCCATAGAGAAGGATATCTGTTAGGTAATAGCGGGGATGGGAAGGCAGCAGCATGGTCCATTTTCTGCTCCGACCGACAATCGCGGACAGTAGCGTAGAGGTGCACGTTTCACGGGAGAATGGAGTGATGCCATCCCAACGCAATGGCCGATCTGAGCTAAGCTTTGCCAGAAGAGGGCGCCCTCTGAACCTGGGGAACCCGAGGCTCGAGGGGAAACGACGCGACTTGGTGGGGCGGTCGCAGAGCAAATGCGGAACATCGAGAAGAAGCTCATGCTGAGAAGAGAGAGACGAGGATAGTGGGTAGATTCCACGACAGCATGTATCTCTGGGAGAGGGGGGAAGGAGAAGAGACAAGACAATTCAGCAGGTGGTCGCGATAAATTGCATGCAAATTGCGGAGTCTTGGGGAGGAGGAGGGGGAAGAGGGAAGAGTAAGAGAGGAGGGAGACCAAAAAGGGAAAGTTTGAAAGCTCCGGGCGGGCGGGACAAATTTCACACGTCGGATCCGAGCTGGTCCCAAAGGAGGTTAGCGCGGTTCAACCAGCAGCAGTTGGAGTAAGTGAAGTAGTTTGTGTTGTTTGTTTCGGGGCAAGGTTGCCTGCCTGCCTGAGGATGGTTTGGTTCTCCAACAATCAATCAACAACACCACTACCATACTACCACCTCCAACGCGGAATAAGCTGCCTGACTTTGACTGACTTCCTGCCTGACTGCCCAGAAGGGTGAAAATGCCGGTCGGAGATGAATGATGGTCGCGGGTGACGCGGATGGTTGAGACAAGATCAGCAGATAGATTAGAGTTGACTACTTACTACTCCGTACTCTGTTAATTATACGACAGGCAGATAGATAGATACGTCGGCATGTTGGTCAAACCCGAGAGTCACAATACTACCAAAACTGATAGTATCTCTCGGGCCGGGTCACCCATCAGGTCACCATGAGTAAAACCAAGAGCTAATAATTAATAGAGAGGGAGGGAGGGAAGGGGAGGTGTGAGACGAGCGGGATAAGATAAGCGCCGGGATCAGCCAAGGGCCTGGTGGAACTAGACTAGTTTAGGTAACATGTCTCCAACAACTCGCTGTAATTCCTGATGTTTCGGTGCTCACACGTCCGCCCGGATTCAGTGTGTGAGCGATAGCAATTGGTCATCACCCTGATGAGGTCTGCCAAGTGGTGGCTTCAATTACCGCATTCGTCAGGCTTCTAGAAGATTAATCATCCCCACCTCGTCAGGAAAAAGGTTACGCCGGTGTTTCTTGGTATGTTTCTGATGTTGCAGGTCAGCGTCGCTTTCACCGTTGCCTGTTCCCGAGTCAGAACCCGACCCTCTCTCTCTCACTCTCACTCTCTCTCTTTCTCTCATCTTCCTCCGTTCGGTAAGTTGTGCCCATGGGTGGTGTGTTCCAACTGCCAACCTCCCTCGTGCTGCCGTCCCTTGTGTTCCCCATCCTCGGGACAGTGCATCACGCCAAGTAGTATGGATACCTCCTTACATCCCCATACATTGGATTACACTGTTCAGCCCATTCAGCCTCACGGCTGACCCGGGTGCAAATAAACTTCGCGCCGGACACCCCGAACGTAGTAAGAGGACGGCGTCGATCGGGAACGACGGAGAGGGAGGGAGGGCGGAGGAGGAGGAGCACTAGACTACTTAGTTACTACTACTGCAAGCGCGGCCAGCTGCCACGGGCTAATCATCGGTCCTCGAGTCTGGGGGAAAATGCAGACTAACGCGAATAGCCTTTTTAGCCTTTTCAATCCCGGTTGGGTTTGACCAGAGTGACCACCGGTTACTTGTCCGCAATGGGAACTAGAGTCGGGGTCAAGTCTAATCCCAAACCGGTAAGGTCTGCAGTTCCAACGTCACCCTGGGGCTTAACCCCTGGTGGGCGCTAGTCCTTTTCCGGCTGCCTAGACGGGCTAGGCACTAATATCTGGAGTTTCATTGGTGCAATGGTCCAAGTGGCGGGAGCTTGGTCTCCACGTGGAGAGCAGATAAACTGGCAAACCTTAGCAACCGCCACTCTATCTCATTACCAAATCGTTTCCACTTTTTTTTGGTGGTCACTTTCTGGTTTCTCCATCGTCTGATGGCCACCACAAAACTACGAAACTGGTTGAAATGTTCTTTTTTGCTCCATTCTCGTTGGCCTGTTCCCCTTCGTTTATCAGCTCCTCTGCGGCGGTGCCCGGATTCATCCGACCCTCGCTCTACTCGCTCCCTCAGTCTTGGTGCTCCGTCTGGGCGGACGGTTCTGTGCCTGCGGTGAATTTCCGTCCCGCTCCATTCAAAACCCTCCCTCTTCCCTCTTGTTCCTCTCTCTTCTCCAGACTCACACACCTCTCTCCTTCTCTCTCTTCTTCCTCCTCCCCCCTCTCCCCCCAAACTCACACCCTAAGGCAACCGGTGTGTGACAGGGCACTGTGTTTACTCACTCTACCCTCCTCCACCCAACCGCCACTACTACTAACTCACCTCTGCCCTCTCATACTACATTTTCATTTTATTCCTATATAACAACAACAACATCATCATGGGTTACGGTGACGAGATCTCCGGCACGGACAACAAGTCCCAGAATGTCATGGGGGGTGAGAAGTATGGTGGTGCTGCCCAGTTTGACGGTGACCTGGTGGAGAAGATGAGCGAGGGCGAGCGGAACATCTACGAGGCCGGTATTGAAAAATATAACCGTCTGGGATGGAAGCGCCTGACGGTCGTGCTGATCGTCGAGGCCATTGCGCTGGGAAGTTTGTCCATTCCTGGCAGTTTCGCTACCCTCGGTATGGTGGCCGGTGTCATCTTGACCGTGGGCCTGGGTTTTGTCGCCATCTACACCAGTTACGTGGTCGGTCAGGTTAAGCTGAAGTTCCCCGACGTCGCCCACTACCCCGAGGCGGGACGCCTGATGTTCGGCCGGGTGGGTTACGAGATTGTCTATGTGATGCTGGGTCTGCAATTGCTTTTCCTGACGGGCTCGCACTGTCTGACGGGAACCATCGCCTTCATCAACATTACCGAAAGCGGCGTCTGCTCCGTCGTGTTCGCTGTTGTCTCCGCCATCATTTTGCTGCTCTTCGCCGTGCCCCCCAGTTTCGCTGAGATGGCCATTCTGGGCTACGTCGACTTTGTCTCCATCATCGCCGCCATCCTGATCACCATGATCGCCACGGGCATCACGGCCTCCGATTCCACGGCTGGTCTTTCCGGGGTCAACTGGTCCGCTTGGCCCAAGGAAGGCATTACCTTCACCGACGCCTTCATTGCCGTTACCAACATCGTTTTCGCCTACAGTTTCGCCATGTGCCAGTTCTCCTTCATGGATGAGATGCACACCCCCAAGGATTACGTCAAGTCCATCTGGGCCCTGGGTCTGATCGAAATTGTCATCTACACGCTGACGGGTGCGCTGATCTATGCCTTTGTTGGTCAGGATGTGCAGAGCCCCGCCTTGCTGTCTGCGGGCAGTATGGTCAAGCGTGTGGCCTTTGGTATCGCGCTGCCCGTTATCTTCATCAGTGGCTCGATCAACACGGTGGTGCTGGGCCGCATGGTCCACGGGCGCATCTTCAAGAACTCGACCATCCGCTTCATCAACACCAAGATGGGCTGGATCACCTGGCTGGCGCTGATCACCGTCATCACCTGGGTGGCATTTGTGATCGCCGAAGTTATTCCCTTCTTTTCGGATTTGCTGTCCATCTCTTCTTCCCTCTTCATCTCGGGCTTCACCTTCTACTTCCCCGCGCTGATGTGGTTCTTGCTGGTGCGCGAGGGCAAGTGGAACACGCCCAAGAACCTGATGCTGGGGGCACTGAACCTGTGCTGTTTGATTATTGGTCTGGTGACGCTGGGGGCTGGTACCTATGCCAGTGTCAACGACATTGTAAGAGCCCTCTGTTCTTCAATTCCTACATTTGTATCTGATGCTAATTCATTTTTTTCAGATTCTCAACTACCGCAGCGGATCCGTGCGTGGTGTGTTCACTTGCGCTGCTCCGGAGTAAAGCATTTCTTGTGTGATTAATTCGATGGGGAGGCGACTCCGACCGGGGCCAACCCTCCTCCCCTTGCAAATACCCCCTCCACTGCATTTGCATTTGATGTACATATGACTCGATGGTTATGATTTTCTGTGTGTGAATACATTTACGAGCGCCCTGTTGATACACGAGCGGGTCTTTTTCTGATCATATTTGCTCCTCATGGCTTGCCTTGAACACTCAATATTCTCTGCACCAGCACTATACCTCCCCATGTTCATTTTTATTTTCATTCAATTTTTTTTTTTTCAGCGATAGATCAAGACCCTCCTCGCAATAGAGTTCTAACAACATTATCATTATCTTACTTTCCTCTACTTGTATACAGCTTGATTAAGCCTCGTATTAGGGAGATAAGCCTTGTGGTGGCGTTGAATTGCCCAGTGGATCGAGTCCAGGTTCAAGGTTTGGGCGAATGTCCGGATGACGCGGGGAGGGCGGAGGTCCATGCCACCGCGGGCGACATTGTAACGTCACAACCACGATCCCCTATCCGGAGGAACCGATCGAACATGAGAAGAGTGGAAGAAGAGTGAGCACGCCATCGGATCATTATTCCCGCTGATGTTGCGATGGATGGATCCAGCGGGGATATCCATGTCATG